TTCATGCATCCACCTTGCTTACAGCCTATTAGTTTAAATACCAGCCAACATAAGATTACAACCACAAAATTAGGACAGCTAAGCTAGCTAATATTCCTTTAATAACAAACTTTTATTCTCTTAAAACCTCTTAAGGAAAAAGACAAAAACTCAAAACTGAATTATTCTAAAAGAAATTCCCTCCAAACTTCAAGGTGATTAATATTCATATTGCCCTGTAACATACCCTCCCCCTTTAAGAGGACTTGCCCTAAAGTCTGTGAAAAGAAATCAGGGAATTTAGCAGTGAACTCGTCTTGAAATACCCAGGATGCTTCATGGGCAGGTGTATGTTTCCAGTGCACCAACAATTGCTCTCTTTGGATTACTTTGTGAGAGATCATTCTCTTATCCAGAATGGCTGCAGCCAATAAGGCTGTGGTGGAGGTAGAAGTAGCCAGGTTTGGGAACACTGCTATAGTAGGCAAGTCACCCTTGAATGCTTTTAGCAGTGAGACATGAAATACAGGGTGGATCTTTGAATAAGAAGGGAGTTGAAGCTTATAAGCCACCTTGCCTATCTTGTCAATGATTCTGAAAGGTCCATAGTACCTGGTTGCCAGCTTGTTATTACTTTTGTGAAGAACAGATTGTTGCTTGTATGCTTGTAATTTAAGCCAAACCCAGTCACCAATTTCAAATGTTCTCTCTGACCTCCTTTTATCAGCTTGCATTTTCATCCTATTCTAAGCCTGCTGCAAATTGTACTTAAGGAGAGAAAGCATCTTCTCCATTGCTTGCATACTTCTATCCACTGTTTCATTAGAAGATTCACCAGGGAGATAGGGTAAGTGTAGTGGGGGAGGCTGACCATAGACCACTTCATATGGGGTCATGCCAGCTGCAGTGTGATGGTGTGTATTATACCACCATTCTGCCAGGGGAATAAATTTGCACCATTCTTTAGGATTGTCACTTATAACACACCTAAGATAGGTCTCAATACACTTATTGACTATTTCAGTTTGCCCATCAATCTCTGGATGATATGCAGATGATAGTAAGAAATGTGTGCCATGGAGAGAAAAAATTCTTTTCCAAAACTGGCCGAGGAAGATGGGATCTCTGTCACTGACAATTGTTTTTGGCCACCCATGGAGTTTGAAAACATGATCCAGGTAAATTTGAGCAACTTCTAAGGCAGTGAAGGGATGCCTGAGTGATAAGAAGTGGGCATATTTTCTCATCCTGTCCACAACCACTAGGATCACGTCTTTTCCCATGGATAATGGCAATCCAGATATGAATTCCATTGAGATGTCAGACCAAACTTGCTCAGGTATTGGCAGTGGCTGAAGTTTACCAGGCTTTGCCGCAGTGTCATACTTTGATGCTTGACAAATTCTGCAATTCCTCACATAGACTAACCTCCTTGACCATTCCCTTCCAATAAAAGAGACCCTGCAACCTTTTTAAAGTTTGGTCCTTTTCTGAGTGTCCCGCCTCTAAGGAATCATGTTGCCAATGGAAAATTTTTCTTTTTAGGTCAGTATCAGGCCCTATTACAATCCTCCCTTTTCGTCTGAGAAGACCTTCATGTAAGCTGAATCCTGAGTCACTATTACCTCCTTCAGTCAGAGAGTCAAGTATGGATTTTGTGTTATCACCAAGATGGTAACTGGCAGCAATTTTATCTTTAAGATCAGAGTCCACTATAGACGTAGCCAGGAGGAAAATCTGAGAACCAGGAAGTCTGGATAGAGCATCAGCAGCTGAGTTCTCCTTGCCTGCCTTATATTGTATTTCATAATCATAGCCCATCAATTTGGACAACCAAAATTGCTGAAAAGGGGTAGAGACCTTCTGCTGTAGCAGCCACTTTAAACTCTTTTAATCAGTTTTCACAATGAAGTGTGAACCCATGAGATACTGCTCCCACTTTTGAACTGCAAACACCATGGCCAACAATTCTTTCTCATAAACTGACAGTTGTTTCCACTTTGGGCCAAGTGTCTTATTGATAAATGCTAAAGGGTGGTTGTCTTGCATCAAAACTGCGCCAATACCCGATTTTGAGGCATCAGTTTCAATTACAAAAACTTTGTTGAAATCAGGTAAGGCAAGCACAAGGACACTGATTAAGGCAGTCTTTAATGCCTCAAATGCTAATTGAGCTTCATCAGACCAAGCAAATGATCCTTTCTTGAGAAAATTAGTTAATGGTTTACTTAGGCTTGCATATCCCTTAACAAACCTTCTATAATAACCTGCCAAGCTCAGAAAACTCCTTAGCTCTTTTACAGAAGAAGGTATAGGCCAAGAAGCTATGGCATGTATTTTACTGGGGTCGGTTTCCACCCCTCTGCCAGATATGAAATGCCCCAGGTATTCAACCCTATCAGTTGCAAAAAAGCATTTGCTCAACTTAGCATACAGAGAATGCTTCTTCATTATCTCAAAAACAGTTGCTAAATGAATCCAGTGATCAGTAAGGCTTTTGCTATAGATTAGTATATCATCAAAGAAGACAAGGACAAATTTCCTTAGGACGTGCCTGAATACCTCATTCATCCAACCCTGAAAAGAAGCAGGGGCATTAGTCAACCCAAAGGGCATAACCAAGAATTCATAGTGCCCTGAATGTGTTTTAAATGCAGCCTTAAAAACATCATTAGGATGAATCCTTAGTTGATGGTATCCAACTCTAAGGTCTAGCTTACTAAAAACCATGGACCCAGCTAATTCATCAATTAACTCTTCCAAAACTGGTATAGGGAATTTGTTTTTAATAGTCTTTTTATTTAATTCCCTATAATCGACACATAACCTCCATGTACCATCCTTTTTGCCAACCAACACAACAGGTGAAGCAAAAGGACTTGAACTGTTTTGAATCACTCCTCTCTCCAGCATCTCATGAATTAGCTGCTTTATAACATCTTTCTGCTTCAAAGGATACCTATAAGGCCTTATATTCACCGGTCTGCAATCAGGCTCTAAATGTATCATGTGATCAAAAGCCCCTCTGAGAGGAGGAAGTGTAGTTGCTTCCTCAAAAACACAAGCATATTTATCCTTTAACTGAGCCAGTGCCACTGGTTCTTCCTTTGAGGCTGGTAGCAGAACCAAACCAGGCTGGAATTCACTAGTCAGTTGGGAGACTTGAATTATACAGATTTGTGCAGCCCACTGTATCCATTTTACTGATGGATCACATACTTTCAATCTCTGAGTGGGAACTCCTTTTAACTCCACCCAATCTTTATTCACACAGAATTTCATAGTGAGGTGTTTAAAGTCCCAAAATATGGAGCCTAATGTACTGAGCCACTGAACACCTAATACCATATCACAGCTTTAGAGGAATAAGCAAGACATCAGCTATAAAGGTTTGCCCCCCTAGAGTCCAAGTAAACCCTTTGCACATAGATTCACAGACTAAATGATTTCCATCTGCCACAGTGATAGCCTGTCCTGAAATGACCTCTACTTTACATCCCAGTTGAGAAGCCAAGTGTACATCAAGAAAATTATGAGTGCTGCCTGAATCAATGAGAACTTGTAAGGTTCTTCCTGCAGCAGTAGCCCGTACCCTCATAGTACGAAAATTTTGGCTGCCAGATAGAGCACTTAGGGAAATAGGAGGATCAAAATCAGCCATGTTCTGAAGCTCATCTAAGGTTGTGGCTACTGTCTCTTGCCTTTCTACACATGGAATTTCCACAGTAAATAACTGTGGTTCCTTGAACTGACATTGATGGCCCTTAGTGAAAGGAGAATCACAGTAGTAGCATAGCCCTTTGGCTATTTTCTCTGCTCTGACGTTTTCCGGAATGTATTTAGGCTTTTGAAAGGGTTTAGTGTTTTGTTTGAATGGTAGTTTGGTAGGAGGTGATGGTAGAAGAGGTGGTTTTGGTGTGATTTGTTGGGGTGTGGACTGGTAGGGTATGAAGGTGTTGTGTTTAGGCTGATTGGCTGAATTTAGGTTGCATGATTCATTCTGTAGCCTAGCATATTCAATAGCCGAGGCAATGGTCTGGGGTTTAAAGGCCTTAACAAAGGGTCTAAGTGTGGGTTTAAGCCCTCCAATGAAGCTCTCAAGGAGATATCTATCAGGTAATAGGTATCCCACTTGAACCATAATGGATTTCAGGTTCTCAAACTCATCAATATATGCTTCAATGGTATCATTCTGTTGAAGTTTATTAAATTCCTCAACTACATTAATGCCCTTCTCATCTCTAAACCTGGCTGTCACGTCTATGACAAAGTCATGCCAATCAACATTAGTCCTAGTTTAAAGATAACTAGAGACCCAATTCTCAGCCTTATCAATCATAGATAAAGAGGCTAAGTCAACTTTCTGCTCATCAGGTATCTTGCATAGATTAAAATACTTGCTACATTTCTTAATCCAGAGTCTAGCATTGCTACCATCAAATTTTGGGAAGTCAAGTTTAGGATTATACCCAAGTTTTGGATGGCTGGGACGGTCATCATTCCTAGTGATCCTGGTTTCCTGCATGCTATCCCTTAGTTGCTGCATCATCCTCAATATCTCATCAAACTTCTGGGCAGATGCTGAGCTTTGATTTTCAAACCTCTGCTCCAGTGCCTCAAGCTGCGCTTCCATCTTGTTAACCCGATTGGTTACAGTATGTGCCAGACTGTTTTTACCAGAGTGTGGCAGGGATGGCACTGATACCAATGTTAAGGAACTAGCAGATTTTATCAATATTCAGTAATAGCAGAAGGATTTTTAGAAGAATTTCCGAATAATGGAGAAGAAGAAGAGGAAAAGAGAAGAGAGAGAAAGAGAGAGATAGAGAGAGAAGAGGAGGAAGAACGGATATCTTTTTCATGCATCCACCTTGCTTACAGCCTATTAGTTTAAATACCAGCTAATAGAAGATTACAACCACAAAATTAGGACAGCTAAGCTAGCTAATATTCCTTTAATAACAAACTTTTATTCTCTTAAAACCTCTTAAGGAAAAAGACAAAAACTCAAAACTGAATTATTCTAACAGAAATTCCCTCCAAACTTCAAGGTGATTAATATTCATATTGCCCTGTAACAATTACATTATTTTTATTGATCTTCAAACATTTATATTAAAAAAAAAAGAACAAAGGAAGATTATTATATATGCCATATGACATCTACAACAATTATCTAGAAAACAAGCACAATTTCCTTAATCATAATCACTTAATTTTAATTGGTGCATAATTGAGCACAATTTCAACTCGCTTAACGCTTAATGTGATCAGTGTCATTAACTTTATTCCCAATAGAAACAATGGAATCATGCAACATCATTTGTTGTCTTGAGACGTTGTAGTTCATCAATGACAGCGGTTAAATCATCATAAGAAGAACCACCTTGTTGAACAGCCTTCTTAGCAGCAATGCCAAACTCCTTAGCTCGCTTCCTCCTTTCCTGAGCCTCCTCATCATCACCCATCAACTCTCTCACTTCATTCTCTATCTTATCTCTCTTCACTAACTCGTCTGTTCCGTCAATCATGGAGCTCCACTTCATATTCCCAACCCCAACACCAATCTTTAATACGTCGATAAATAACTTTCGATGGTAGAACTGTTCAGCAGAGAGAGGCCAAGCCACCACAGGTAGCCCCGCCGTAAGGGACTCTACCGATGAGTTCCAGCCACAGTGAGTCATGAACCCACCAGTGGCAGGGTGCTCCAATATCTGTGGTTGGGGTGCCCATCCTTTTATTAGCATCCCAATGCTTTTCTCAGAAATCCTTTCCTCAAATCCCTCGGGTAACCATTTATCCGCTATCTCTTTCGACTCCCCCTCCGTCTTCCGGACCACCCAAATAAATGGTTGGCCTGAAGATTCAAGTCCCTCAGCAATCTCAAACAGTTGAGCTGAGCTAAACCTTGCTATGCTTCCAAAGCTTACATACACAACTTTTCCTTTTGGCATTTTATCCAGCCATTCCAAACAAGGGTGTTTGTTGTTGCTATTGTTATCCAAGCCGGAGTTGAGTTTTTTGAGAACAAGATCATGGTGTAGGAAAAGAGGGCCGATACACCAAGTACGACGTTCCAAGGTGGTCCGGAAATAATCTATGTAGTCTTTCTCCAACTCATAGAAGCTATCAACGATGACACCATAACAGTTGCGATCAGCTTCTTTAACTTTGTTGGAGAATGTGGTGTAGGGACTTGGAGTTTGGATCCATTGCGGAAGTTCGGAGCGGGTCATGTATATTGGATGTGGGAGTCCCGGTAATAGGAAGGGTTCATCGTCAGACTTGACATCCTCATAAGGAGTATACCTACACATTGTATATATATTAAATGCAATGTTAGACGAAAAATACTTGAGATATTTAAATGCAATTTTATAATTAATTCATTACTAGATGCTTACGTATAGGTAATAATGGGTCTGATATCAAATGTAACGAGTAAACTAACATATATATATATAGTATATTGTGAAAAAGACGATTCAATAATGAATAATGACTATGTTGTACATACCTATCAATGGCATCAACAACTGAGAGGGCAAAAGCAGCTCGAACATGGTAAATCAAACGTGGGATACCAAGGCTGGCGGCGAGATCAGTGGTCCAAAAACAGTGCATATCAGCGACGATACAGTCAGGCTTAGCAGCCCGAACCTTAGCTTCGATGGGAGCTTGAAGCATGAAAAAAGCTCGGAAGATTTTACCGGCAATTTCCAAGTTAGAAGAGGCACTGAAGTTCTCAACCCCCTCGGGCAAGCCGACTTCCTTGCTGGGGAAGTGAACATAATCGAGGTCAATGTGAAGGCCAAGTTTGTTGAGAGAATCGATGGAATCGCGAAAAGAGAGGGAGTTGTGATAGGTGGTAAGGAATGTAACGTGCACCCCGCGGGATGCAAACAACTTAGCAATTTGGAAGAGTGGTAAGTAGTGACTGGGTGTTAAGTACGGGATAAAATATGCTGTGAGACTGCTTTTTTTGCTTCCATTCTCTTCCATTTTATTTTTGTGTTATTTCAAATTTGAGTGTGAGTGGTTAATATATACATTTTGTGTAGCCAACAGGGTGCTCGTGGTCCTTGAGGAACTGATGAAATAATATCAAATGTCATTCAATTCTTCAGATGGAGTACTCCGCATTTATAATTCCTTGAATGATTTCGACAGTATTGATTCACCTCTACTATATACTGGACTATACTGTATGTAAATACTTACGGATGAGAGTACACCAAAAGAAATCCCTTTGGGTGTCACGAGACCCACGAGGCACTACGCACTAGTAGATTGCTGAGAATATATATTTTATTTATTTATTTATTTATTTATTTATTTATTTATTTATTTTTGACAAGAGCAAATAAAAACAAACAACATTACATTACTCTAAAGACATAAAACTAAACCGACATCGTCTCGCAATGTCGTTAACCCTCTGAACCTGCTCTCTCTGCCCTTTCAGAATGGTGCATCTTTGGAATAAAGCACCCACTTCCTTTAATCCCTTTAGAAACCAAGTGATCGAGACCTCCATGCCCTGATAATTCTGAAGGTTGTTCAACAGGGTTAATGAGTCAGTTAAAATAAGAATTCCGTTCCTACCTTTTGAGCGAGCCCATTTCATCGCTTCCAAGATAGCCCAAGCTTCACATTGTAATGCCGACGCTGCAACTCTGTATCGATCTTCCTCCCTCATCAGGCCCCCTTCCTAGATTATTACTCTTCACAGCCCATCCAATTCCTGCTCTTGTAGTCCGCTTATCCCAAGAGTCGTCTGCTTCTACAATAAAATCGTCGAACCCCGACTTCTCTTTTCCTAATTGGACATAGTTAAACCCCGGAGGGAGGATAGGTTCATCCCTGGTAGTAGGTTCTACCTCCCTTATCATGCTAGCGCGATGAGTGAAATGTTCATGGTCTTGAATCGCTTGGTTAATAAATTCCCTCACCAGTCCCACTTGAATCCCTAAAACATCTGGCGTTCCTAGCCTTCCACATGCCCCAAAGGGTCGCAATAAACCTCGCACATTGGGTTCCTTGCATACCATCCTCGCTATAAAAAAGCAGGATATAGTGTTGGATCCATTCTTTCAAAGACATAGACCCTGGAAAGTCAGGACAAACGTCTAAGGAGCCTGTCTCCCAGACTTCCTTTGCTTGAAAACAATATTTGAAAAGATGCTGGCTATTTTCCTCGTCCTCTCTATAGAGATCACACTCTGTTTCTACATGTATACCCCTGTTTGCCAAATTAGCCTTGACGGCAATGCCATCATGAAACAGCTTCCACAGAAACAACTTCCATTTTGGATGGATATCCATCCTCCATATTAACTTCACAAACTCCTGATCCCCAGCCAAGAGAGCAGTACTTTCACTACCCAGATTCTTGGAAAGATAGTAATATCCTGTTTTAACCGTGTACCTCCCCGATGGGTGGTGCTTCCAGTAAGGGAAATCATTCTCATTGGAGAGTGGGAGTTCCATTGCCAGGATTGCCTTTGCCCACTCCCAGTCGAAGCATTTCCTGACCATCCCTGCCTTCCAGGATTTTGTTTTCTTATCTATAAAATCGCTAACCTTCCACATTGAGGCGGCCCTCAGTATTTGACCTGACTTTACCAAAGGAGTCTCCCCTTTTACCCATGGCATGCCAATTGCTTTAATACTTTCCCCGTTTGCAACCTTCCACGCGAAACCCCCCTTAAAAGTTTGGGAGACTTTTTGAAGACTTGTTCTTCCCAGGGATGGAGTTCCTCTTCTGGTATAAGGTTTCGCCATACTGCAAATGCCACATGGTTGTAAGCCATTTTGGACTCTAGAGAGCAGCAGTTGTGGGTTGAGATGCATCCTTGTAGCCTGTTTGAAGAGAAGAGCATCGTTAAGACAAGAAGAGCCTCTAATCCCCAAGCCTCCCATACTTTTAGGCAGCTGGGTGACCCTCTTGTTAACCCAATGTAACCCTTTGTTCCCATTGCTGGACCACCAGAACCGAGAAATTAACGAATCAATCTTGTTTGCTATACTTTGAGGAAGTTTCAAGCACTTCATGACATGAGCCGTCATACTATTGAGTACTGTATTAATGAGGATAAGCTTTGCTGCCTGTGATATGTGCAGCTGGGCCCATGACGTGATTTTATCCGATACCTTGTCAACTAAGAATTGGAAGTTGCTGCTTTTCTTTCCCTGTATATCAATCGGAGCTCCAAGGTGTATCCCCATGTTTTCCGTTTCAGGCATAGAAAGGATCTGCTTCACTGTAAATTTCCTATCCTCCTCTACTCCTGGTGCAAACTTAATTGCAGATTTCTGAAGATTTAACTGTTGCCTCGAGGCATTGCTAAACCTGTGAAGGATGTCTGAAATGCACCTGCAGGACTCCTCATTTGCTTTAAAGAAAAGCATAGCGTCATCTGCAAAGAAAAGGTGGGAAATCGCCGGAGATCTCCTTGACACATTTAGACCTTTAAACTGATGAATATCTTCAGCCAGAGTCAACATCCTAGATAGTATATCCATACACATGATGAAAATATACGGGGAGAGAGGATCCCCCTGCCTCAAGCCACACTTTGGAGTGAAGTGCCCAGACACAAATCTGTTAATGACCGTTTTAAAACTCACTGTCGACACACACTGTGATATCATCCTAATCTAGTGAAGGGGAAAGCCATGATTGCTGAGAATCTGCCGTCCAAATTTAATGTTAATATGACTCATCAATTCACATTTAATTTCATTATTTTTGAGCTTTTGTTTAGTAATCCTTCCGTCCCTTATTTACATGTCTACTTTCCATTAATTAATATTAATAGGCTATTTAATTGAAAATAGGACTGTACACCAGGGTGCACCATGCACATGGTGCACCCGGAAGGCGGAAAGAACATATTGTTGTTTGATAAAGAACATATTTATATTTGACAAAGAACATACCTATATATGTTTGATAATATGTTCTTTTATGCTTATGTTATTTTATACAAAGAACATACCATAATATATATGTTGATTCAACATGTTTTTTGGGTTTCAATAATAAAAAGTATGTTATTTGAATATGGCTCGTATGTTCTTTGAATTTAGCTCATATGTTCTTTAAGGTGATGAGTGATGCACAAATTCTATTTTTTTTTTTTTTTTTATCATATATCATATTAATTTTATTTATTTATTATCGTATGTTCTTTGAATTTGATAAATGTGTTCTTTGGGTATGAATTATATGTTATTTACATTATAACTTATGTTCTTTTAACATATGTTATTTTTGAATTTTGAAATTTAATTTGAAAATGAAATCTTGAATTATTTTTAGTTGAAAATAATTTTAGAGAAAAAACTAAAATTATTATGGAAAATTGAATTTTTGGAGACAGAAAACTTTTTTGGGGGAAATGATATCTTTGGTAAAGATTTTTTTTTTGTTAATATGTAATTTTTCATGAAATTCTAATAAAGTTTTTATCAGGTTCTTTTTGTAATGTCTTTATTTTCTTTGGTAATGCATGTTCTTTGTTAAACACAAACATGTTTTTTTTCAAACACATGAATGTTCTTTTTCAAACATCTGAGCTTTTTTTGTTTAATCGGGTGCACAGATCATGCATTACTATTTAATTAATGAAAGCCTATTTCCTCAAAAAAAAAAAAAAAAAATTTAAAAGCCTATTAACCCAAAAAAAACCAAGAAAAAAAAAATGACTTGTCCACTTTTCTTAAACTATGTCTATAATTCATATTTTAATGTGCCAATTATTTTGAAACAAAGGAATTAGAGTAATAGAAAACTGAAAACATAATTTAGTGAGATCTTATTAGAATTTAGAAACATAATATCTCAATATGTGTTTGCAAATACTTCAAATAATTTTATTAATGTAAATTTAAATATACTTATGATTAAACTAGTGTAATACTGATCTTGAAAAAAAAGTCCGCAATGTGACTAATTTAAGAATGTTCTTTTGAAAATCCCGCCTCCAAATTACGTAAAGGCGCCACGTGGACTATGTGGCCATTTGGTGCACGAGGGCCATGACTATGTGGCTATGTGGTGCACGAGGGCCATTGGGCACTACCGCTCTACGTATTAGCAGGAGCAAGTTTCATGTGACAAACAAGAACCATTATATATATATATATATGTATATATAAAATAATACTGAATTTAAGTACAGAGTAAGTCCAAATATATGTGACAGAGTAACAGACTGGTTAGGTTTAATATAAAACTACTCGTAGTTTGAAAGTGGGGTTTTAGAGGGGTTTAGTCAAATTGAACTATAGAAAATTAAAGATGAGTTCAAGTTTACGGAAAGAAATGGGTTTTCTGGGTTTAATCATAGTGGGAGTATTTGTATTGATGCCCAAAAATTATGCAAAATCATCAGATACAAAAATAAAAGTTGAAAGCAAGGAGAAGTTGTTAAGATTCAACAAAAATGGAGAATTTAAAATACTACAAATCTCGGATATGCACTACGCTAATGGCAAGGACACTCCTTGTAGGGATGTCTTGCCATCTCAAATGGAAACTTGCTCTGATCTCAACACCACACATTATCTCCGCCGTTTCATCCACACTGAGAAGCCTGACCTTATTGTTTTCACTGGTATGTATATGTTCATGTAGAAATTCATCTAGTATGGAGTAAATTTAATTTTTTTATTGGGGGACTCAGAGATATTCATGGTTGTATAATAATAAGTTGAAAAGTGTGTGGTCATATATAATTGTAGCGATATGATGAATGACATATGCAGGTGACAACGTGCATTCAATGGAAGCATATAACTACAATAGATCGATGGATGAAGTATTTGCAGCAGCAATTGAGTCCAACATTCCATGGGCTGCTATCCTAGGAAACCACGATGTTAATGTATTGCAAACTGGAATTTCAAGACAAGCAGTGATGGAATACATAGCCGGAATGAAAAACACTCTATCCCTCCTCAATCCTTCCAATCTCCTACAAGGTGAGTCCATTTGGGGTTGGGGCAATTACAACTTGGAGGTCGCCGGTGTCCAAAACTCCCCTCTTCAAAACAAGTCTGTCCTTAATCTTTATCTCCTTGATACCGGTGATTACACCTACACCCTCGCTCCTACATTTTACATGGGCTATGAGTGGATCCATCCTTCTCAGCAATCTTGGTTCCTTCGCACCTCCAAACAACTTCAACATGCCTACACCAGCCCGCCTCAACCACAACAAGGACCCGCTCCAGGGTTGGTATTCTTCCACATTCCTATACCCGAATTCAACAACATCACGGAATCTGATATGGTGGGTGTAAAACAGGAGCATGTCATTTGCCCCGGTGTTAATTCAGGTTTCTTTGATACAATGCTTGCAGCTGGAGATATTAAGGCTGCATTTGTAGGACATGGTCATGTCAATGACTATTGTGGCAAGCTTTGTGACATACAACTTTGCTATGATGCCGGATTTGGGTACCATGGATATGGATTAGCTGGTTGGGCAAGAAGGGCAAGGGTGATCAATGTTAAGTTAGACAAAACTAAAGACGGTAATTGGGGTCCTGTTAAGTCCATCCTTACTTGGAAGCGACTTCATGATGATCGTCTCACTCTCATCGATCCTGAAGTTCTTTGGACCTCTACTGGTAATTACTTACCACTTTGTATGTATATATATGTTTGTAACAAATCTTCAATGGTATCTTACTTGAGGGCTTGCATTTTCTGGCATTTACTTAATGTTTTTTATTTTCTATATATGCAGGTGGAGATCGAACTCAATCCTTGTTCAAACCAATTATGAGCGAATAAACTTATTTGCTGATGTTGATGGAGATGGAGATGCAGATACAAACTAGATAGGAGTATTTAGAGATTAGTATTTATAGCTAGTTGTATGAATTAACCAAGAATAAAATTTGGCCTATGATTAGCTTGTATCAAAGATAAAAGGCCAACATCAAACCCATATTTGTCTTGTACTGTACTGTACTGTTTTACATTGCTGATTGATGTTTTATGTAATCTTAGACCAACGATATTGAGCCTCTGTTTGAAGTTTCTTAAGATTATGTGTACTTTGATCTTGGTCATGAGCCTAACCAGGGCATGGAATTGAAGTTTCTTATTAGAATATTCTGACCATGTATGAATATTGTTCATGTTTCTTAAAGTTTGTGACGGGGACTCCATTAACATCATGTACCTTTCTTTTTTTAAAAAAAAATCCCTTAAATTTGCCCCATTTTCTTGTTTATATGCTCTTAGAGTGTAGCCATTTATTATTGCCTTCTCATAGATTTATTATTGCCTTCTCATAGTTTATTAGAGTGTAGCCATTTATTATTGCTTTCTCATGGATTTATTATTGCCTTCTCATAGATTTATATGCTCTTAGAGTGTAGCCATTTATTATTGCCTTCTCATAGATTTAAATTTAGTTGTTTATATGCTCTTGTTTATATGCTCTTAGAGTGTAGCCATTTATTATATGCTCTTAGAGTGTAGCCATTTTCTTGTTTATATTCTCTTAGAGTGTAGTCATTAATTTTATTTAATCAGTCTCTCTTTTCCACTTTTCCATAATCAAACCTCATAGTTCTGCCCACTTATAACCTTGTACTTTTAATGGTTTCCCGGACATAGATTTTCTCATTCATATTCAATCTACCTCACCACTTTTAACTACCAAATTTTATAAACAAGTAGTTGGTAATAAATTTTGTTCAACTTCAAAAAATAGATTTTCACTCAGCTTTTAAATCTTCAAAATTTTACATATTAGCTGGGAGTAAAAATTAGGAAATTTTCACTTTTGCTACCACCAAAACACATGTGTTTCACTTTTGCTACCCCTTAAATTTTTATTTTTTTATTTTACTACCACCTAAAAGCACATTTGTTAAAATTTGCTACCAGTTAACGGATTCAGTTACTATTTCCGTTAGTGAGATCCAGCCACTCTCAATGTCACCTTGCGGCCACCCCTCCCTCCTCAGCCACCCTAACTGCCTCCCTGTCAACCACCCAAAGTAAAATAAAAAAAAATGTTGAAAAACCAGCTGCCTCTTCTTCCTCCCTGCCTTCTTCTTCTTCCTCCCTTTCCATTATTTTGGCTGCTCCCGTCAGCCACCCCTGCCCTGCCAGTGGCCGGCGCCCCAAGCTTTGGCCACCAGTCCACCACCCTGACAACCACTTTCCCCCTGAACTACATCTTGCCATCGCCACCTCCACCTCAGTCACGCCAGAAAAACCCTATAACCACCCCCAAAAACCCAACCTCATCCCCGAAAATTCTAAACCCTAACCCTTTCTCTTTCCTTCCTCACTCCTTCCTTTCTCTTTCCCTTCACTCTCCATTAATTCCGATCCCCTCCACCCTCTTTGCTGCTGCTGCTTTGCAAGCTAAATTCCAAGGTGGGTTTCGTAGTGTCTCGGGTTCCATGGTCCCTCCTTATTCTCTCTCGTTTAAGGCCAAAATCGGGTGTCCTCAATTTCTCTCTTCGTTTTCAATTTCCGGCCGCCGCCTACCCTCTCTGACACCGAATCTCAGCTCGCCCCCCTTTTTTGATTTCTAGGTTTCCGGTGTTTTAGGTTCTGGGTTAGGGGTGGCTGTTATGGGTGGGGGGTCGATTCAGGGTGGGGGAAGGGGAGGGGGGCCGATTCCGGTGGGGGGGTGGGGAGGGAGGGTTGTTTTCCGGTTTCGGGGTGGGGGTTGTGGCAGCGAGAAGGGGATAAGGGAGGGGGTGGGATGCGTAGGTGGAGGAAAGGGAGGTGGATTGGAGCCACCGGCGCCAGCAGGGGGAGGGTGGCTGACGAGAGCAGCCAAATAATGGAAAGGGAGGAAGAAGAAGAAGGCAGGGAGGAAGGGAGGAGGCAGTTGGTTTTATTTATTTATTTATTTATTTATTTATTTATTTTTTTGAATAAACTTAACGGAACTCTAACGATTTCTGTTAAGTGGTAGCAAATTTTAACAAAGGTGTTTTTGTGTGGTAGTAAAATAAAAAAATAAAAAAAATAAAAAAAAAATAAAGGGATAGCAAAAGTGAAACACATGTATTTTGGTGGTAGCAAAAGTAAAATTTTCTAAAAATTAATGGAAAAAAAGTTTAGCAAAAACACCTCAAAATTATACTCATAAAATAGTCGTCAGTGTAATTTTTTCCTATACAGAAAAGCAAACCCCTCCATATTTTGCCGCCAAGAGGCAAACCCCTCCATATTTTAACAATTTCTAACATCTTTTCTCTTCATGCATGCCCATCCTAAATGGTCAGTGGATGCCTGGATGACTTTACTTTTGATCTATACTCCCTAAATAACTGATAGAATTTAGATGCATGCGAAAGTTTAATGAATCCGAATGTTATATAAATTTTTTTTATGATTTCATAAATTTTATCATAAATTGTGCAACAATATTTTTGATGGAAACTTATGCCACACATACACAACTCGTATTTAATTTAAGAGAGCTCAGGTCTCTCACTACCTTGGTGAGTACTTCCCTCACCACATCAATGGGAGCACTTAGCTTAAAACATGATGATATCACATATTTATAGGTGTTACATAGCTTAATCTAGATTGTTCTACATTTTTCATACAACATGTGATAATACCTAATGCTAGATTATTCTAGAACTCTTTGAACTTTTTGTTGATATTATCTCACTAGATTTGTCTAGACTATTTCCTAGATTTACATTTGTTTTTATTTATTTCTTTAATTTTTTATGTTGAGACCATGCATGAGAGAGTAAGTGAGGATTTTTATTGTAAGAAAAGAGAGAAATATACAATATGCTGAAATTTTATCAAGAATAGCAGTACTACAATTATCTTAAAATAATTGAATAATTAAATAGGACAAATAATGCAATGAATTTCGAACGGAGGGAATACAAGCTAGTAAAATATAATACAAAAAATCTAACAACAATCAATATAATTGATGTGGAGTAACTTTTAAAAAAAGAAAATGAAGCAAACATTAAAAACGAATGGACTACATTCTTAAAATAAATTGGCTACAAATTAAAGCACAAAACCCACACAATTATTTGGGTACAATATGTAGATTATGTAAAGCCCCACCTTGTGCGGCGCATGAGGACCACGAGGCACAGGCACTGCTCGGTGTACACCGTAACAGATCGAGCAGTTAGATTATTAGTTATAAATAAAATATTATCATTGCTTGATTCAATACTTACTTGGCGGCAAATATAATGTATAGTTTACGCTTGGGTATTACAATATACAAACTACAATTAGTCTTTATTTAAGTGGGTTTAATACTAAAAAAAAAAAGAGAGCTTAAGAATACGGAAAGGAATGGGTTTTTTGGGTTTACTCACAGTGGGAGTTTTTGTATTGATGCTAAAAAATGCAAGCTCATTCAACACAAATATAAAAGTTGAAAACAAGGACAAGTTGTTAAGATTCAACAAAAATGGAGAATTCAAAATATTGCAAATCTCAGATATGCACTACGCTAATGGCAAGGACACTGCTTGTAGGAATGTCTTGCCATCTCAAATGGAAACTTGCTCTGATCTCAACACCACTCATTATCTCCGTCGTTTTATCCATGCTGAGAAGCCTGATCTGATTGTTTTCACTGGTATGTATGTATATATGCATTTTTTTAGTATATGGTTGCAGCTTGTAGTCCTCGTGTCCATACCGGTTACATGTCTAGGTGTTTATATCGGGTACATGTCTAAGTGTTTGACTCAAGTGTTAAGCATTAGATGGAAACCTGATCTAATCGTTTTCACTGGAATGTATGTATACTACTTTAGTCCCGTGCGTTGCACGGGTTAACACTACTAGAAATAGGTTGTTTTCCGACGGAATCTTTCTGACGGACCTAAATTCCGTCGGAAAATTCGATCTTTCCGACGGAATTAGGGTCTGTCAGAAAATTCCGTCAGAAAAGGTACGTTACGACGGAGAATCCCTCGAAATTCTTACGACGGAAATTAATTCCCTCGGAACTATAGGCTTCCGACGGAATATTCCGTCGGAAATTCTTATAGAAAGAAAAAACCAACCCTCAACTCTCTGATATTTTCTTTTTCTCTTTCTCCTCTCCTCTCCTCTTTCTCTCTCTTCTCCTTCTCTGACCTCCCTCCTTCTCTTAGATCTCCTTCTCCTTCCTTCGTTTCTCTCTCCTCCGCCCTCTCTTTCTCTCTCTTCTCCTTCTCTTTCCTCGATCTGTTCTCCTTCTCCATCGCCACTGCGCAACCAAGACCACGCACCACCGCCGCTGCGCAACCAACACACCATCACCGCCTTCTCAAGGTTTTTCAAAGAACAAAATAAGGTTTTTCATGTCAAATTCGACCATGAAAACCCTAGATCTAGAGTTTTTATGGTCGAATTTGACCTTTAAAACCCAAATTCAAGCCAATTTAGGGGTTTTGATGGAATTCAAGGTAAGTTGTCTATTCTCTTTCTCTTATTTTTTTCGGGTTTTGCTTGAAACATCAAAGAATTTCTGGGTTTTGTAACTTGAAATTATTTCGATTTTTTTTTCGTTTTATTCGTTTTGTGATGGAATTTCTGGGTTTTTTAACTTGAAATTACTTCGTTTTGTGATGAAATTTCTGGGTCGAATTTCTTCGTTTTTTTTTTGAAATTTTTTCGAATTACTTCGTTTTTTTTTTGGTGGTTTTTTTGATGTTTTTTTGGGTGGTTTCGGTGGTGGTTTGGGAGGGTGTGGAATGGCGAGGTGGGTGGTGGTGGTTTGTAGATCTGGCGAGGTGGGTGGTGGTTTGGGTGGTGGTATTCGGGTGGTTGGGAGGGGATACGGGTTAGGGTGGTGGATGGGTTTTTCGGTTGGACGTGGTGGTGGTGGGTGGTGTGGGAAAAGGGGTTGGACGTGGTGGTGGTGGGTGGTGTGGGAAAATGGGTTGGACGTAGTGGTGGTGGGTGGTGTGGGCTAGTGGCGGGGGTGGATCTGGGTGGGGTAAGGGATAGGGGTGGGGTTGTTTTTTTTTTTTTTTATTGAATTTTCGGAAATTTCTGTTGGAAATATCTCCAACTCCGACAAAAATTTTCGTCGGAAAATTACGAGAGAATTTCAATTAAAGTAAAAAAAAGCGCCGACAGAAATAAATCCGTCGAAAATTCCGTCGGAAAAGGTCGAATTTCCTACAAAGGGTTTTGCGACAGACGGATTCCGACGGAATTTCGTCGGAAGGCCATTTCCCGACAGAATTTCCGATGTTTCCAACGGATTTTTTTCCGTCGGAATTAAGCTGTTTTCTTGTAGTGTAAATAGCTATTATTTGTTTAAAATGGTTGTCAATATTTTTTATTAGAAAAAAGTGTAATCATAATCTCATTAATTAATTTTGAAAGAAGTATTGTTATTTTTTTTAGTCTTGAAACTTAGAAGGAAATATATAGATAACAAAAAAAAATTATGTCAAAAATAGTTTAGGCGGGAAAAATTTTCATTGAGAAGTTGGCATGTGTCCCTTAATGATGTCAGCATGTTTTGTTTTAGTATAATAGTTAATAGATATGCATTTTTTTAGTATATAGTTGCAGCTTGTAGTCCGTGTTATTTCGACTTGGGTGCTCGTGTTTTGGTATATGTCCAAGTGTTTATATTGGATACATGTCTAAGTGTTTGCCTCAAGTGTTAAGCGTTAGATGTTAAGATTTTCCAAATATGTACAAGCAGGGCCGGCCCTGAGGGTAGGCCTCGAGTGCGACCGCCTAGGGCCCACACCAGAAAGGGCCTAAAAAAAAATAAAAAAAATAATACATCAGTTTGCATAGTTGTAGAATTTAACTCCGTATGTTTTATTCGTTAAAAAAAACTACTTTTTGAAAAGATAATTACTGCATTTATATTTAGCAATTAACATTAAATTACTTAGCGGTCAATTAGGTGGAGATTACAATGCAATATAACCTCTTCACTTCTTCTTCTAATCTTCCGGTTTCTATAAGTATCTGCTCCAAAATATTAATCTTTCCAATTACACCGTTTCATATTTATTCAATTATTATGGAAACAGTTAAGATATTTAAATAATATTATGCAAAGTTATTATTGTGTATCGAGACTTACAATTTAAATAATATTCCCTCCATCCCCATTTGATTTTTTTTTATTTGTAATTTTGACACTATTTATAAGGTGAGAGAATGTTCTAAATTTCTCTTAATATTTTTTTTTGTTGAAAACATTTCTCTTAATATATAAGGCATAATATAGTCATGTTGAGTCTTATTGGATTCGTCTCAATGAATAGATTATTAATATTCAATTATTCTATTTTTCACTAATAAGCAACTGACGATATTTATAGTCAAAGTGTTGCATTGACAAACGTGCACAGTCCAACTAAGGAAATCAAATGAGGGCGGAGGGAGTATAAGTTATTTTCATTGTCTTTTATTTAAATCTATTGTGTAAAAAAAAAAACATTGTTTACGTAAGGGGCAGTTTTCTTATATTATGCCTAGGGTCCATAAATTTCCAGGAACGGGGCTGTGTACAAGTATATGTTAACTGGTGTGTAACTAATTATAGCGATCCAATGAATCAAATATGCAGGTGACAACGTCCATTCAGTAGAAGCGTATAACTATAATAGATCGATGGATGAAGCATTTGCAGCAGCAATTGAGTCGAACATCCCATGGGTTGCTGTACTAGGAAACCACGACGTAAATGCACTTGTAACTGGAATTCCAAGAAAAGCAGTCATGGAATACATAGCTGGATTAAAAAACACTTTATCCCTTCTCAACCCTTCCAATTTAGAACAAGATGAGTCGATTTGGGGATGGGGTAATTACAACTTGGAGGTGGCTGGTGTCGAAGATTCCCCTCTCCAAAACAAGTCTGTTCTTAACCTTTATCTACTTGATTCCGGTGAATACACCTATAGCCTCCCTCCCAATTTTTACATGGGCTATGAGTGGATCCATCCATCTCAGCAATCTTGGTTCCTTCGCACCTCCAAACAACTTCAACAAGCCTAAACGAGCCCACTCGAACCACAACAAGGACCAGCTCCAGGGTTGGTATTCTTCCACATACCTATACCTGAATTCAACAACATCACCGAGTCCAATATGGTGGGTGAAAAACAGGAGGATGTCTATTGCCCCGGTGTTAATTCGGGCTTCTATGATACAATGCTTGCAGCTGGGGATATTAAGGCTGCTTTTGTAGGACATGGTCATATCAACGACTATTGTGGTAAGCTTCGTGACATACAACTATGTTACGGAGCTGGATTCGGGTACCATGGATATGGCTTAGCTGGTTGGGCCAGAAGGGCAAGGGTGATCAATGTTAAGTTGGATAAAACCGAAGATCTTGGAAGCGACTTCATGATGATCGTCTCACTCTTATTGATCCTGAAGTCCTTTGGGCTTCTACTGGTAACTACTCACCAGCACTTTTTATATATAAGTTTGTAACAAATTTTTAATGGTGTCTCTTGTTAGCTTGTTTGTGCTGGCATTTACTGTTTGGCATTTTCTATGCAGGTGGAGATCAAGCTCAATCTTTGTTTAAATCGATTATGAGCGAATAAGCTTATTTGCTGATGCTGATGGAGCTATGATGCAGTCCAGCAAGCAGACACCAACTACTTGACTAGTAGCTCAGTATGAGCAAGAATAAAAATTTTACCTTAGCTTTGTACTCTTGTATTGATGATTAAGGACCTAAATTTGAGGTTCTCAATCATTAGATAATAATTATAATAACCCATAATTTGGTAATAGGAATTCTTAGGCCTACTGATAGAGTATAAAACATATTTCTATTAGCTTAATCTTTTGGTTGAGTTGGTCCTTTAACATGGTATCAAGAGTCAGCGTGACACAAAGGTCACGGGCTCTAATCACGGGCTCTCATGTGAAGGAGCGTGATAAAGACAAAACATATTCCTGCGCCTCAACCATCAGCTTAAGCTTTTGGTTGAGTTGGTCCTTTAACACCTACATCTCTACAAAACTATGAGATGTAACCCCGACTCTGCCCTTATTCTAAATGATGATATGAATTTCAAATTACTTTGTTGCGTACCATAATTGAAAGACTTCTGCCATAATTCTACAAGAATTACACTACTCCTGCCTGACTTCTGTCAAAATTCTACAGAAATTTACAATTGAAGTGATTAGGGCTGTGGGTTTTACGACAATGCAATTGAGCAAATATTTAATGTATAGGAGATCAAATCAAGTTGCTCTTGTTGGGCCGAACACACACCACATTAGTATGATATTGCGATGATATTGTCCCTTAGGCCCGCATGGATTTATTTTTGGGCACCTTCCCAAAAAGCCTCATTAGGGGTGTTAAAAAATATCCGATCCAATCATCATCGATGATTCGACCTGAAATTTTGGGTATCCAATCAATTTTAAGATTTCGGATATCCGAAAAATTTCGAGTTGCGGATTGAAATTTTTCCGAAAACCTGATTATTCATTCCGAAAATCCGGATATCTGAAAATTTCAGATCGGATCTGGATCGCAATTCTCTGAATTTCGGATATTCGAATTTCCGGATCGGATCCAATATCTGAAATTGAACAGTCCTACCTCATACGGTGTGTTTTCATTTATAAGGAAGTCTTCTATTTCTCATTCCCATGTGAGACTTAAATTGCCTACCCCAACAACTCAATCATACATTCTATTTATCTTTTGTTGGTTGATTTCAGTTGGATACACCATGTATCAACAATTTCATCAATACATTGAGATCGTCTTAGCATCCAAATCGAAATAACAATTGTCTTAGAACACATACAGAAGCTAGTATTTGTTTTTGAAATTTGATGCAATGGGTGATTAAAGAAAAAAATACATGGTTTCAAATGGGTTCGTAATTGGGTACAAAAAAAAGACATAATAAACCATTGTGCATTATTAAAATGTATCATACTTACAGTAGATCCATTGATGTAATGACAAAGTAGTTGTGCCTCGAACATCCCATCTACTTGAAAACCATCATCTCACTACATTATTGTCAACAGGAATTACCATAGATCCACTTCCATCTGCGTATTGTATTCATCATTCAATAAAATCAAATCATCTAAAAAAAACCACTCGCATTTTATGCATGACCTATAAATATATACTTTCTTATTTTTCTTAATCACTATAAAAGAAGGGGGAAAAAAATGTTTTTTGACTGGTTAAAAATCTTTACGTTGTACACTTGACATTTACAACGGTTGTATATAATACAAATAGCATTTTTGTTTTTCTACAAAGCAAGATTATAACAGTATAAAATATCAAGCAACGTTGCGCATAAATATCGGGTAACAATAACAAAATATCCACATACTATGGAAACCCTAGCTAAAAGTAGAGGATCAACACATTCACCGCTCCTCCTCTCATAACAAATTCATCAAATTATTGTATGAAATAAAATATATAAAAAGTACTTACTAAATTAGTATTTTTTTTTTTAACAAATTGTTTGGTTCTTAGAACAAGAACTTTCCGGGTGGTAGGCACCCTAAGCTCTATCGCTATCATTAGAAAAAGTCCAACAAACCTTTATAAACCAAGATAACCCAAACTTGTTGATTGTGATTGGGTTTTCCAAAATGAATGAGCGATTGGAGTGCTCTCCATCGCTTAAACACAAGCTTAAACACACATTATTATGTGGCTGTTTCAAGCATCATTCTGCCGACTACGACCACTTGCCTGATGACGCCTCCTCCGCCTTCCACCACCAACACAATAATCACCGCCTCACTCGAACCTCCTCTGCGGGTGGGGGTGAGGGTAGTGGCAGGATGAGATCATCAAGGTCTGAAGAGTTTTTGAATTTAAAACATAAATGTCGCAGTCTCATGATCAGGATGGGGACGAGCACCCCACGTGGTCAACATCATAGGAAATCTCAATCTACGGATTTTCGTTACGACCCTCTTAGCTATTCTCTCAACTTCGATGAGGATGATACTCTTGTTGATGATTATCCCTATCGAAACTTCTCTGCTAGGTTGCCGCCGTCGCTGCCTCCGGATCCTCCAACAAGGTCCATTTCTGATGGGGCGCTCGATATGGCCGCATCTTCCCATCAGGATGAAACATCTTCTACGTCTACGACCCTCAGCACTCTTCCACCGGCCAGGGTCATCACAGCGTACAGCTAAATTTTATTTATTTTATTTTTTTACAAGTTTTGGTTATATTGCAATATAAAGTTACGTTGTTGATCTATAGGATTAATTTGTTTTGGTTCTATAGGAAAAAGGAAATGATATACGTGTGTTGACTTTTTTTTTTTAATTACATCATTTACATGGGATTTTATTCAATATGCGTGGACAGAATTATGATTTAATAATGGGTTTTATCAATATATAGATGGTATGTCATCAATATGTTGTGAAAAAGGTATCGAGTTTTTTGTCCTTCAATTTAAATTAAAGTCTATATTCACTTTTTGGTATATGAAGATGTTGTTCAAAGAAACATATATATTCCTGAGGAAGCCAATAAGAAGCTTAGATTGATCTTATCTCGAAATAACTTCTTGCCCATGGAGAATCACCAAAGAACTACTCATGAAACTATGTTCAAGCTAGGGTACGGTGTCAATATTGTTTCTATCACCATTTGATAAAAGTTAAGGTATATTCTACCTCATTCATCTTCTTTTCTTGCATAAAAGACAATAATGATTGTGTAAACGATATATAATCTTGATCAAGCATATATTATTGATATCTCCCTCAAACTTTAACCTAGTAAGCTAGTTAATATATACATGTTGAATTTTACTTTTATGCTCCTCTATATTATATATTGTGAAATTTTTTTGATGTGGTCTGATACATCGTTTTTGGCCTTGTGGGTGAGAAAATACAATAAAAAAAGAATTGGAGTTGGGAGTTGAGTTATTAAACACTTGATCATTGCATGCATGTGCTCCATGTAACATAAGGGCCGGCTTTCATTCAATTCAGTTTAATTTCACGGTGCATATGAATGGATTTCCCACACACACATATATATGTACGTAGTACATTAAATTGTTTGGTTTAACTTAATCTTAACTTAATACTTTAGATAAAGTACTACGAAGTATATAAGAACAAACAAATAAGTTTTATTACTGTGAAAATTCCGTAACTCTGAACCCAAAAGATCCCAAGGCTTGGGGCATGCATTAATGGAACGATATCATGATTAATGAATAATGGTGTTCCAAATAAAAATTGGAGCTGAATTAAATAAGGTAATACCAAACTTACAGCCTTACACAACATAAAGATTAACGGAATAACGGTACCAAGAAGTGGGAAACCACTCACATGTCATCACATATTATTGATATCAACATGTCATTATTGTCAATCATTAATTCCATAATCCATGTTAAGGTTGACTAATTTTCCTAAAAAACAAAAAGGAAAGACATCGTTTGTGGTTGGATGGCTGGGCCTTCAATACAGATTGAAACATAAAGGGATTATTGAGTCCAGCCTTTATTCAAATGGGAAAAGAAACATATCCATAATATTAATTGGTCTACTTTTTGGGCTAACACAGTTGTACTGTACAAAATATGAATGCCAAGGGGGTTGGACTACTCAAGTACTGGGCCAAGATTTGTTTGTTTTCATGGATTTTTAGTAACCGGTTTCATCTCCTAGTTATGTTATAGAGTACACTAGGTGCATTGGTGTAAAACAGTTACTACCTCCCTTAATTATTATTGAATGTGCGAGTCAATAAGGTTCGATGAAATTGAATGTTTCAACTACTCCGTAGTCTATACTAACTTAGCTACACAATTTTGTTTATGTCTATTATTATACTTTGTATGTGGGTTGTTTAACAATTAGATAGATGTAGCAGCTTCCTATTTAGTAGATCGGCTAAGCCTCTTCGATGCACTCCATGACTCATTATAATAATTTAATTAAAAAAAAAACTGTCATTAAGATTTAAGATTTGGCATTATTAAATGCTTTGAAGGCTTGTAAGTATATATTTCTTGCCTTAGCAATCATATGAATCCCAAGATTCCAAACCTATCTAATTGCACTATGATCAAGACAGTTCTTATAATCTTATTCTACAAAATATACTCCATATTAAATTTGTCCAAATTTTATTTTTGAGTTGCTTAATAATCAAATTTCTGGATTCAACGAATGATAATGGAAAGTAATTGAATTACCACAAGCCAATGAAAAGTGATTTAGCTATATAAGTCGGCGGCCTACTATAGTATGGCCTGGAAAAGTATGCATGTTGTTATACTAATTAAGTAATCAGTGCAACGACTAACCTAATCTTGTTCCAACTAACAATTGAATATCGTGATCTTGAAGATAAAGTGCGCTGTTTGTTTCTTCATCATTTATATTCTCTCCTAATTTATCTCCCCCGTAATCAGTAATTAGTACGCGGTTTGCCTTTTAAGCATAGAATAATCATATTACTTTTATATCGTTTTGCTAAAGGAGTCAACATTGATCTGTTTACTAAGGGTTTGTTTGGCATTGTTGTGGTTTTCTATTTTTTGGTTTTTTATTTTCAAAATCATATGATATATGTCATATAATGAATAAAAATTAGTCAAACTTATTAAAATCCTGATAATTTAGAAAATTGACAACAAAAAAGTGGATGCACCTTTTTCTTGTTTCCTGTTTTCGGTTTTTGGTTTTAAAAAAAAAACAGAAAACTGAAAACAAAAACCAATGCCAAACAAGCCCTTAGATTTTGATATTATTTCCTAATTAAAGTAACACTAGTTCACTCAAGAGCAGCATGATCACCGACAATATCTTGCTGGTTTCAAATTTCAGTTCATAATTATTGGCATGTCATCGACTATATTTTAAGAATTTGTTGACAATAATGCTTATATCATCAATTTTCTAAGTTCCATAATCCACGGCATGGTGGTATATATTAAAGATCTTTTAAGATATGAGGTATTGACGTAAATTAAAACTAATTGGTTGTTGGTGCAATGGTGATTAGGGCCGCACTTGGTAGTGAGGACCGTATATTCGATCCCTACAATAACAATTGGAAGGGGATTGGAACCTAAACACCCAAACCTGAGCCTTAAATCCAAATTAGCCCAAAGGGTGAACTGGATAGAATCACTAAAAAAAAATTTGATGTAAATTAAAGGGCAGCTAAACTTCACAGATTAGATAAATTTTGTAGGTTCATTAAATTTTTAGCACCATCATTAAGAAAAGCTAAGTTAATCACGAAAGTACGAGACTCTGGCTAATAAACCATTGAACCAAGTGTATATAAGAATTGTATACTTATTATTAGAGTCATTACTAGATTATAATAAATACAAGCTTGACTAAACTTGTACGAGTTGGAGTATATAATACGTAATAATATTAAAGTTTAAAGTTTATTTAAGCAGACTAAAAACTTGCTATTACGTACCCAATGAAAGTTCAAAGTTTACTTGAGCATACTAACATTTTATTTTTCTTGAATCATGGATTAATAATGATAATGGTAGGGACTATATATACGTATTACGTACCAAAGTACCAAACACCTCATTGTTGTATCTTTTAGAATAAATAGTCATAGATTTAAGAAGCCTTGAGATTATGGGTACAAATTAAATGCATTAATTAAACACTTTCGAATTGGTCCTCTGAAGTGTTTGTCACACGTAAATTAAAGGTCCCTTTAATTATGTTCTTAAATTATAAGGTAAATATATACAGTACTTACTATTCTAAATTTGCAGCTTCAAGGAGGTCGAAGATATTTTTGGTTTTGTTTTTATTTGGTTTGGTGAAAAAAAACATGGTGTTGCTATCGATCAGTCACTATTATGAGCTTTCAGTTGGAAAGTTCAAAAAGAAACCTCACCATATTTATCCACACTTCTTAATTAATACATGTACGTACCCATATATGCATATTTATTATGCGTGTCAGCGTGTGGGTCATTTTTTTTTTTTTTTTTTTTTTTTGTCTACGAATTAGCTACGGTTTATTTTATTTTCCTCTTGGTGTGGCAAGAGTTTGTGCAATTATAATTGGGTAGTAAAAATTCAATTTCACGTCTTTTATATGAATTGATTATTTCAAATATTAACTAAGTAAATTGTTATTCCGCTATTAACTATAAGAACCAAGCTAAGGTGAGTCCAAGTGTATGGTCAATTGGTCATAACTCAATTATAGTAAAAAGGTATGCTAGATATGTTAAAATTGACTCGACCCAAGAAAATGAGCCTAACTTGAATTCTATATCGTAAACAGACACGATGACAAAGCTTTGGCCCACCGCGCCATATTAAATCAACTACTATTATTGTTTGGTAAGTAATTGTAGATTAAATTGGAGTAAGAGTTATAATGAATCAAAATAAAACATGCACAAAGTGAGGGGAAATAGAAACAATATTAAACTCATCAAATGATTTATTTTTTATTTACGATAAGAATTCAATTTAAATTGATGTAGGTTAAAAAATCTCTACCTTTTAAAGACATTTATTATTGAGAAAACATATATGTTGTAAATTTGTATAAATTAACTTGCAATGTATGCTTAATTAACCGTAAAAATCGTAACTGAATAGGGTTTATTTATGGCCCAGTAAGGTGTAAACATCACTACAAAAAAATGTCCATATAGAAACGGCTAGCGATGGAATTCAATCCGTTTCTAAATTAGAGACGGAATTAAAAAATCCGTCTCTAAAATAATTTAGAAACGGAATTAAAAAATCCGTTTCTAAATTAGAAACGGATTTTTTTCCGTTGCAAAATTAGAAACGGATTTTTTTCCGTTGCTAAATTTAGAGACGGATTTTTTTTTCCGTTGCTAAATTAGAGACGGATTTTTTTTTTCCGTTGCTAAATTAGAGACGGATTTTATTTTTCCGTTGCTGATATGAGCGACGGATTTTTAATTCCGTCTCTAAATTATTTTCAAAACGAATTATGTAAAATATTACTTTAGCGACGAATTATGTAAACTAAAATCCGTCTCTAAACTAGAGACGGATTTGAAAATCTGTTTCTAAACTAGAGACGGATTTTAAATTCCATCTCTAATTTTTCTTTCACTTATTATCAATTATGTGCATAGAAGTAAACAAATAATATTTGGTATAGTAGGTAAGAGTTTCACTATGTGACTATGAGGTCACGGGCTCGACTCCTACCTATTGTGATTCTTGAGATTGGGGATTTAAGGAGTCTTACATGCAAAGCCGATTCGGGTTGACTCGAGTGAGGTCGAAACGAATAACATCTACATATATACACAAAATAATATTTCCGTTGTTAAATTTAGAGACGGATTTTTTTCCCGTTGCTAAAACCAGCGACAGAAATAAAAATCCGTTGCTAAAACTAGCGACGGAAATAAAAATCTGTTGCTAAGTTCAGCAACGGAAAACAAATAAAACGTCGCTAGTCTCATTTAGCGACAACAGTTTTACCAACGGAGTAATTCCGTTTCAAAATCTGTCGCTACCTATATTTAGCGACAGAAAAGTACAATCTAGCAACGGATTTGACCTGTTGCTAAATGTCTATTTTTTTGTAGTGCATGACCAAAAAATTAAGTCTAATCTATTTTGGTGAAATAAATTCATATCAATATAGCACGCCTTTAATAGAAAATGAATCTAGTCGATATATTTAATATACAGTATTATAAGTCTGTAATTTACCTCTATTCCCATAAGGCTATAATTCAATCTTTGTGAAATTTCTATACGTAGTAAAAGACAAACATTATATGTACGAAATACTCCGTAATATTCATGGAATGAGTAATATATATACATAATAATATGTATAATATATGAAGTATACAACACATAATTATAATGATCATGGAGATAAAAAAGTAATGGTACATTGTTGAAGAGCATAAATGATGATGGGTGTTTTGACCATGAAAGCAATAGTAGATAATAAACATAGCAAACGAAATAAAATTAGAATTGACAAAAGTAGTAAAAGTCATAGGGTTCAATACTAAGAAAGTAGGGTCCGGAAAGAGAGTCCAAAAGAAGGAAAAGAGAGGATATAAAGAGTAATTAGACAAGTACATTAAGCCATCCATCCACGTGCCTTCATTTTCCAATACCACTCCTCATTCTTCTCACTATTTTTTCTGCCTACCTTAAAACCTAACTACCTTCGGCACCCTCCTCTGATACTCTACTTTCCTACAAATTCGAATACATTTTCTTTTTCCAATTTCTTTCCTCTTTCTCGACGTATTTTTAATTTTTAAATAAAGGGTATTTTTATTAATTAAGAATTAAGAATTACCAATAGAACTGAAATCTTGGAACCCAGAAAATAGAAGAGGAAGAGGAAGAAGAGCAGAACAACAAGAAGAGACAGAAAGGAGTGAAGAATCAAAGCGGTGCCGTTTGATGCTAATTTGATATCTCATCATTTGTCTCATCAAATTGGGTATTCTCTTAAGTCTCTCTTTATTATTTTCTGATTATCAATTTCTTTTTGGATTTTCTTGCTTACTATTATTAATATTAAATATACCCTTTTGGATTTTAGTTTTTGGTTCAATTCAGCTGGCAATTGTTGATTTACATACCCCTGAACTATTATTTCTACTCTTATTTGATAAAGTTCAAAATTTTAGCATTTAATTTAATTAATAAAAAGCGCCATAAATTTTCTCATGTAGGTTAATTTTGGGGAAAATTCCGGTGATTTGTGTAAATCTAGTGTAATAAAGATGGCATTTGATCAGAACTCGATGCCAGCAGATCTAAGACCCTTAAATGTAGTTCGTAGTGTTGCCGATGAAACCCGCATTTCCCCATCACCTGTCACCACCTCAGGTAGGCCCCCTGATGGATTTTATCCAAACATGACCCGAGTCGATGTCGCTAGTCCTCCTTCAATGCCGGTATTCTTCACTGATGGTTCTGGTGCTGGGATCCCGGGCATGGGGTTTGTAAATTCAGGTGGGCCGAATCTGGGCCCCGCTACCTGGTGGGCCCCGCGAATGCAGTCTCCCATGGGCCCACCTCCTCCTAGTAGTAGTGCTAGCATTAGCTCATCAGGGTATGCCTACAACCAAAATTTGGGGGCCCGAGTTGGTGGGGGTAGGAGTGGGAGTGGGAGTGGGAGTGGGAGTGGAAATGTAACACATAAGAGTCCTGATCAAGTGAATGTGGACGGAGTGGATGATTCTGTATCAGGGAAGAAAGTTAAATTCTTGTGTAGTTTTGGGGGGAAGATACTCCCTCGTCCGAGTGATGGAATGCTTAGATATGTTGGTGGCCAAACTCGAATTATTAGTGTTAGGAGGGATGTAACTTTTGGGGAGTTGGTTCAGAAGATGGCGGATACATATGAGCAACCAGTGGTGATCAAGTATCAGCTCCCTGATGAAGATCTTGATGCCTTAGTTTCTGTTTCTTGTTCTGATGATCTTGATAATATGATGGAGGAGTTTGAGAAGCTGCAAGAGAGGTCTCCTGACGGGTCTGCCAAGCTAAGGGTGTTTTTGTTCTCTGCTTCGGAGCTTGATCCTTCTGGTGTGGTGCACCTGCAGGGGTTGCAAGATGCTGGGCAGAGATATGTGGATGCTGTCAATGGGGTCGCAGAAGGTATTGTTGGTGGTATCACAAAGAAGGAAAGCATTGCAAGTGTAGCTTCAACTCAGAATTCTGATGTTAGTGTGTCAGAGGTCTTTGAGACAGCAATTGGTCACGATGTCAGTGGACCGCCATCTGCCAGCATGTTCTCTCCTCGAAGTGATTCTGCTGCCTCTTATGATAATACTCCTAGATTGGATGTTTCTGCCCCATCCTTGATAGTTCCTCACTCAGCAACTTCACAGCCAGATATTGAGGTAGAAAGAGTAGTTCCTGTTCCTGCACATGGGCAGCAACAGCCTCTGGGATATGATTTTCAGCAACCAGGCATGAATTTTCAACCTCACAATTCCCCCTATTTAGGTGGGTATATAGATCCTCGCCGAGATGCATTGAGCCGTGGTGCTTCACATGTGGTTTATGCAAACCCCCAGGTTATGGGTACTCCAAGACCCATACTCATTCATCCACAATATCGTGATTCCCCACATTTATTGAACCAACAGTTTGTACCTGGTGCAGTACAGATGACAATGGCTCCCACTAATTCCCATATGAGCATGAATCCCAATATTCTTCAGCCAATTGTACAGCCGTCACAGAGAGTTGTTGCTGATCCTAACTATAATAATGCATACCAAGCCCCGGTTGGTGGAGGTTACGGGTGGCCCCAAGTCCCTCCACAAGACCATGCAGCCTTATCAAAGGGATGGGTGACGCGTCAACAGGTAGTCCCTACAACAGCAGATTGCTATATGTGTCAAAAGGCACTGCCTCATGCACATTCCGATACTGTAGTACATGACCAGAAAAATAGTCATACAACCAATGTTTCTGATACAAACCCGATTTGTCAAAGCCTTCGTCTGGATGATCTTAATAGATTGCATGCAGCTGCACAGAATCAGGGATTGATGGGGTTAGTAAGTGATGCACAGACTCCTTTCAGTGCCCCCGTGTCGTGTCCTGAAGATGCTATCCAGCAGCATTTAGTAAGTCAACCTGTCAATGGTGACAATACTGCTCCCACTGGTGTTGCTTACCATGCTCCTGAACATTTTGTTCCCGAAACGACAGTAGACTATTCTGGAAAGGTTTCGAGCTTGGCTTTTAGGGATGATGCCATAAGGCCTGCTATCTCAAATGATCAAGTTAGACCAGTGGATCTCAGAAAGGAAAATCTCCAATTGAAACCTGCTGATGTTCTACCTAGTAATGAACAGGGTAAGTCCCATATTGATCAACTTCGGGAAGATGATTTTTCGGAGCAAGTGCCTTCTCACACATTGGGGAGAGAGCCATTGGCAAGTTCTGCCTTCATTAGACCTGCACTACTTCAGGAGACGAGCCAGATGAACCAAAGTGAATTTTTGCCATCTTCCGTTGCTGAAGTTCAATATCAGTGTAATGAAATATCACCCAGTAATGATCTGAGACCTGAAGCTACAAGATTTCCTGCTGAGACTATTGCTTTAAACAGTAATATGCAGTCTTCAACATCCCCCCATAATTGGGGTGCCGTTGGGAATGATTCAGCAAACTCATTGTTTAGTAACCAAGACCCTTGGAATATGCGGCATGAGACTCAGTTCCCCCCTCCTAAACCTAGTAAAAGTGCTACAAAAAGAGAGACATCTACTGCTGATAATTGTCAAAATGGAGAATTGAGCGCAGATGCAAATTTTGTTGATGTTCAACCGACAACTGAACAAGTTCAATCAGGCAAAGGTTAGATATTTAGCCTACTTATCTAGGCCAATTTTGTGTATATATTATCATTTGTTGACCCTTTAGTGTTTATTGAAGGCTCAGCTGAAGAGCGGATCAAGCAACAGCTGCAAGCAACAGCTGAAGGGGTTGCAGCTTCAGTTCTCCACTCATCTGTGCCATCAAATGTTGACTTTTCATCACAAGAAACAAGTTTTTCTGAAGTGAGCCATATGATTGAAGGTCAGACTAATAGTGATGCTGCTCTACAGACTAAGATGGAGGTGATTTATATGTAGAATTTTGTTACAGAAAGGATGAGGGTGCAAATATTATTACCTTTTCTTTCCTGTTAACGTTTGTCCCACGTGTATGTGTTCCTTCCTTTTACAACAGGCCATGAATATTAAATCTGATAAGGCTAACTTTGGGTTTCCACTCTCAGATGGCCTTGGTCGTTTACAGGTGAATCATTTGGTAGCATATCATTGTTTATGGTGTTAATATTTCACTGGAAAACTTATCTTGCTACTGATGTGCGCAGATTATTAAGAATGGCGATCTTGAAGAGTTGCGGGAACTTGGTTCTGGCACCTTTGGTACTGTTTATCACGGAAAATGGAGAGGAACTGATGTTGCTATTAAACGAATCAATGATAGGTGTTTTGCTGGAAAGCCTCCCGAGCAAGAACGCATGGTTAGTGGCTATTCATCACTCTTGTCATGTGTTACTATGTTCTTGTATTGTTCCATTTGCTTAGTTTAATACCTTTTTTCCCAGAGAGATGACTTTTGGAATGAAGCCATTAAACTAGCTGACTTGCACCATCCGAATGTGGTAGCTTTTTATGGTGTTGTGCTTAATGGTCCTGGTGAATCTGTGGCTACAGTTACTGAGTTCATGGTTAATGGTTCTCTTAGAACTGCTTTGCAGAAGAATGAAAAGTAAGTGTACTAACATTACTAATCTAAGCCTGTGTTTTTTTCTAATATTGTTGGGCATCTTGTGCTTCTTCCTCACACGCAATCCTCTGATCAAATTGACACTATATTTATTTCAGAAACCTTGACAAAAGAAAGCGGCATTTGATTGCCATGGACGTAGCATTTGGAATGGAATATCTACACTCAAAAAATATAGTGCACTTTGACCTTAAGAGTGACAACTTGCTTGTCAATCTTCGAGATCCACATCGACCCATATGCAAGGTCAGTTGCTTATCACAGAGTTCACAATGAGAAATTTGTTCTAGATTAACATATTCTTGTAGGTTTGAGAAATAATGATGTAGAGCATGAGCCCTATTATTCTAAGCTATCTACGACTGCATGCAGAGGTCACTTGTACCTAATGATTAAGGTTTTTGTATACAGTTGACTTTGGCCTGTGAGATTCTATATTTCAAGTCTGAACCTGACTTCTTGAAATAATCTGCAAGGTTACTCTTAGGTTTAAAATTGAGTTTATGTACAAGAGTTAGAAAGATTTTTGGATGCTGCTTCATATGTGTGATTTTATAGTCTTTTATCTCAGTACATTCCTTATAAGTGATGTGGTATTCATTTGCGTCCATAGACAATCTTCTATTATTCTAATGACATTGCAAGTCTGCAGCTCCTTGTAAAACTATTGGGAAAGAGCTAATCTTAATTAGTAGTATCACACACAAAAACTGTATCAACATTCTTGTTTCTATTTCTAGATTTGCTTAGCGGTGCCTTTGTGATCTGCCATAGCCTCACAGTTTCAGTGTACTATCCGTGGCTTGGAGTAGTGAAAGCTATACCCCTCAATCATGATCCCCCCCCCCCCCCAAGCTTCATAAGTTAAGGTCTAAATAACATTTTTTTTTGGTGTGTGGTTTACTATTGAAGCATCTTTTTCCAACAAATGAATGGTTTACTATACCAAATTTGTCATGCATGGTTCTCAGCAATAGCTGACTTGACATTGCACGTCAAATAGAAAAAAAAAAAAGAATATTCCAACTCATATGACTTTTTATTCAGTGTGTGTGTGTGTGTGTGTTTTTTTTGGAGGGGGAGAGGGGGGGAGGGGGAGAGTAGTCGGGATCTTTGACGTGGTGCAGGTGATTTTAATTTTTTTTGTGCTTGGGTTGGTGGTGCCACTGACTGCTCCATCATTGTCACTTACTCTGCTAACAATTTCTATAGGTAAAAAGTGAAGTTGCTGCAGGGAACAGTTTACTGTATAAACACTTGATCAGTCTCCCGGAGAAAAATTCTGAAAAACAATACATGACCTCTTGGGTTGTGTGTTCCTTTCTGTTATCTAAGTACTTAAGGGCTATAGCTGCACCATAACATTGCCTCATTGGCATGTCTTTTATTTTTTCCTACTGAAGGACGAAAGGTCTTACTGGACAGTATGGAAAATTTGATGTATCGAATGCTGTATGCTGAACTAGGATGAGATTATGATTTAGCACTATGAAGTAATATATGACTCCCTCTTTGATTGCAGGTCGGGGATTTAGGTCTATCCAAAGTGAAATGTCAAACGTTAATATCAGGGGGAGTGCGAGGTACCCTTCCTTGGATGGCACCTGAGCTTCTGAGTGGCAGCAGCAGCCTAGTCTCTGAGAAGGTTGTCATTTTTCTATAACCAAATGATTTTAATTAATTTCTGGCAGCAGTAGTATAGTGCTAATTTTTAAAATTTGTCATGTCTAGGTTGACGTGTTCTCTTTTGGTATTGTTTTGTGGGAGCTTCTTACTGGAGATGAGCCATATGCTGACCTGCACTATGGGGCTATTATTGGTAATTCTTAATAATTTTTCTCTGCTAGCTATGTTGCAGGGTTTTGTTGATTTTTTTTTTTTTTTTTTTTTTTTTTTTTTTTTTGTGGGGGTGGAGGTGGGGGGGGGGGTGCTCACTCTTTCTCTCAGGATGACAGTAACTTGCAGGAGAAACGTGACAAAAAATGATATTGAGTGACTGAATTACTTATTTGCTTATGGTAGATGACAGTAGAATTAATGAGGTCCAAGCCTTTTTTGTTGGGTTCCCGTATTGCAATTTTTTCTTGTGTGTTAATATTATAACTAAACTTTGTGACATCAAATTTAAGTTTGCTAGAGAAAAAATAAAATTCGGTAGGCCATAAACTCTTTTGCCTTGTGAAAATTTATATCTGGAAAGGGTTTAGGGTTTCATAATGTAGGTATTGCTGACGCCATTTTGTTTTGAACATGAAATTAGGAGGAATTGTGAGCAACACCTTGAGGCCATCAGTCCCAGTGAATTGTGATCCAGATTGGAGATCACTGATGGAGAGATGCTGGGCTGCGGACCCATCACAGAGGCCAAACTTCACTGAAATCGCCAATGAATTGCGCTGTATGGCTGCCAAGATTCCGGCAAAGGGGCAAACGTCAGTTACAACTACAAGAACAAACACCTAGTTGGCTATTATGTTTTTGGCTATCATTTAGCTGATGCATAGTTGGATTATGTATATTGGCCTCTGGAAATTTGGCATTATAGTGTCTTATGGATATGGTCCATATGGATAATCATCCCCTCCCCCCCAAAAGAAAAAAAAAAAAAAAAGAGAAAAGAGAAGAAAAAGAATTGTTGAATAGGCATTGATTTACTACATTTTCTTTATTTATTTATTTATTTATTTGCACTCTGCCCCTCCCGAATTTTCAAGGACTTTTTCGTGGATAGCGGAGTAGTGTACATAGCCTCATTTTTGCGGGGTTTGAAGGTGTTTCTAACTCCATTTTGTTTTGCAACATGAAAATAGGTAGACGATACAGAACATGTTTCAGTAATCTATGGGGAATTGTGATAAAATCATCTTTCCTAGGCTCATTATGCAAGAAAGAAAAAGACTGGATTCTGTACAATGCCAGGTTATGCGTAAAGAATTAAACCCGGTGATGAAATGCACATTGCCTCGTGTAAAGCCGTGAGGGTACAATAGCAGCCCTGAGGGAAAAATAAACTCCCAACAGCTCGTGCAAACTTAACACCGGGAATAGAAGCTTCTATTAAATTCCGATACATATCATTTTCCGAGAAATAATGTCCAAGTTTGATTTCATAATTACACACCAAGTTGAAGATTTAGAATTTAATGATAACACGTGACCCACACAAGTCAGCATCCCTTTGAAAAATGAAAACCCTCCCGCGTTCGCCATTTTAGACTTCAACTTGCCATTTTCTTTGATGCTTCCTCTCCCTTCTTTCTTTCCTTCTCTGCTTAATTATATAAAAACTTAACTTCTCCATTCATCCTACCTCATTATTCTCTCTTATTTTCTTGATGGCTACACCTCAAGAAAATGCTTTCTTGATGCAGGCTGGCGAGTTCGAGTCAGAGGAACAAGGATGTGGTTGCTTTCGAAGTTTCAGGGTGTTTACGAGCCAAAATCATGTAACAAACAGCGGTGATCGACTGCATCTTCTGCCCGAAAGGCGGGAAGAGAGAGAGTCATGGATGATGAGACAGGTAAAGAAGTTAAGAGAGGTGTCAGAGTTGGTTGCTGGACCCAAGTGGAAGAATTTCCTTAGGAAAATTGGTGGCTACTTTAATAATAAGAAGAGGAATGATTTTCAATACAATTCTTTTGATTATACTATTAATTTCGATGATGGCAATTACGACGATGATAAAGATGGCAACCTTGGTTTCTCATCTAGGTTTGCTCCCCCAGTTGTTCTTCATGACAAGCCTAGATCATCTACTTGATGTTTTTGTTGACTTCTGTGAATGATGTATATGCTTAAAATTAATTTGATTCGGGGATTCAGGAATTTGCCTCTATTATGTTGCTTGGAAGACATCCACTTCTATCAATGTTAGAATGTTATGCCTATTACATACGAAATCATTGTTGTTTTCTTTCAGCATACTTCTAATCCAATCGGTTTTGTACAAAAGCAATTATGATTATTCTCATGTGTATAGTCTAAGAAATGAATCAAATGATTGAAGGCGATGAGATAATACCAATAAGAATTGGTTCCCATAACTGCCCTTGCATTGTTGTTCCCCTCTCTGGTATTGATTAGGTTTAGTCAAATTTGCAAAATGTTGACTAGTACGTAATTAATCCAAAGCAATAGACAAATAAAATAAGCAAGAGTGGGTAGACTTTTAGCTTCTGTTCAACGACTTGGATTGGTAAGCAATAAGCAAAGATATCCAAAACTGTACATTAGATATTTGTATCGCGTTGACACCATCATCCTACAGTTTTACTACTAATTATTTAGGATAACTTGTCTACAGCTATGTAAACTCCATTTAGCTAATTATTCTCCAGTACTTCCACCAATACCGGCACCAATATTACCCCGATACCTTTAAACAAGGTCCTGCCCTGAACAGGAACAGGCTTAATTATTTAGATGTATGCAACCTCTCCTTATCGATTATATAGAGTATGCAACATAGTCTGATACTTGAGACTGATCACAGCATATAAGAATAAGACACACAACAGGTCAATAGTACTACAAAAGAGTGAATCTTTTAATTTAATCAAGAAGACAGGCAACATTTGATCTCTAATATTTTCATGACTGAAGTTTTAAATAGCACTTATTTATTTGAAAGTTCATTTACACTGTAATGAATGGCAAACAAACCATATACAGGTAGTTCAATGTATTCACATCTTTGTATAAACTATGCCTTCCTCTCACCAACACATTACAGTCCAATATAGTGAAAATTAATAGTATTGAAAAGTAAAGGGAAGTGAGATCATGGGAGGGAAGGAGTGAGTGAAGGTTTAGTAACTTTGAGTTCACCACAATCGCTGATATATATAGACTTAAGAGGACGATTCCAAAAAGTTCGAGCAATTTGGGCTCTTTCGTCTCCAAGAAATCCTGCCAAGTCATTCAATTGCCTTATCCTTTCAGCTGGTTTGTATGTTGGTGCAGATGATATTGCTCTCACTATATCCATCCCTGCTTCCAATTTTCACCATCAAACTACATCCAATGTTGTTTTTACTAGTACATACATTTTTTTTTTTTCAACAAGTTCATTTCTTGTAACACCATATATAATGTCCATCTAGGAGAGAAGGCTAAGGATGGGAAATGCCATGGGCGCTGCTGGGAAGATCGAGCACTCATGTTGAAAGGGGAGGTAAGAAGAGTATTTTTACGCTTATCTCCCGGTCATTATTTTTATTGATGCAAAATAAGTTCATCTCCTACTACTACTAGTCTACTACATACATAATTACATAGGCAATCATAAAAGTTGAAAGAAAATCATTGGGATACTCATTGACCTGTTTATAGGCCTTCTTAATGTTAGCTTTTGGCTACGTTTAAGCATATAATTAGCTGCTGTACTATAGTCCACCATTGTAATTTGTGTAGTAGTATATACTATTTAGCTTCCCAAACGTAATGAAAGGTCAGACATAATTCATTCCTAAACAAATTATGGAAGGGCAAGGTTTATACCTTCATAGAAACTAGATTTGATCCAAATTTGAACCGTACAATACTTCCCTTGTTCATTTAACTTTCCCAAACGCGTTATATAGCTGATAATGTATATGTTCGTCTATTTTAACTACTAATGTTGCGTAATAAGAATAAAAAGACTACATGTTAAGGTTTAACCTTCCTAGAAACTACTACCCGTAGTATGATACTTGTACATTCCACTAATAAGCTAACTTTAAGTAAGCTAAATAAAAAATGAATTAAAGTAAAACATACCTTCAAGGACACTCCCAAAGACGATGTTCCTACCATCAAGCTCCGGACATGGGCCAGGTCCAGTCGTAATCAAGAATTCCACATTGTGATAATTTGGGTCTAGTTTAATATCATCTTCATCATCATTCTCAGACAAGCACAAGGAAAGAACACCTGGCCTCGAATGCTCCAACATAAAAGCCCGAGAGTCCACTGTCTCCGTGTTCCGGACTAGACCAGAAGAAGGTGGCACCACCTCTCCTTTATCTTTCCTCCCTTGCCGGCCTGCCACTAAGAATTGGCCCGGGAGGATCTTATGAACCAATGTATTCTTGTACCCCATAGGCCCAATGCACATGGCCTTGAAATTGGAGACCGTGATGGGAACAATCTTCCCATAGAGGCCCAATACAACACGGCCCATGAGCTCAGAATCGGCGCATAGAGGTTCGTCTTGGGCCTGGCCTTGGGTTGGGGTTCGAAAGTAGTTTGGACAAACACTAAAGTCTAAGAAGACCCGGTCCGTGATGGTGGTGTCTAGTGGAGGAGCATTGGCAGCGGAGGAGGGTGGTGTAGGAAGAGAGATGGCGGTAGAGAGGAGGAGGATGGAGCGGCGAGTGGTTTGAGCATCGCGGTATGGGGTTGGGGTTGGGGTTGGACTTGGGCTAGTAGTGTTATGTTGGTGAGGAGATAACGAAGAAGAGGAAATGGTACTAGTAGTAGTAGTAAGATTCCTATGTTGAGGTTGGGGAGGCAATACATGAGGAAGAAACTTTGCAGAATAGAAACTGAACATTGTTGTATTAACTTTACATTTGTGTTTTGGAGTGGGGGAGAGAAAGGGAAAGATTGGTGATTGGAGCTCTAAGCTTCTGCTAGCCTTTCACTTAAGATAGGTAGGACCTCTTTCTATTTGGATTTTGGATCAAACTAGTGTACCAAAATGCCTCCCCCTTTTCTCCTATTTTTCTTTACTTTTTTTTCCTAAGGAGGCCCCCATTCCTCATAATGAGAAACAACTTATGTTTCTCAAGGGGGTATAACCGACATTGCACCTCATATAAGTCATTTGCTGGATGTGTGATGTGGCCTCATTATTCTGACGTGTTTTACTTGGTTTGCCAGTTGTATTACTTGTGGGTATCTCACCGTCGACGCCGTTAAACTTCAACGTTTATGGAGTTTTCATGAAAACTCGAAATTTGGGCGAAACTCAAGTCGAAGAAACCAAATTCGAAGAAAGCACGGATTCCGGGTTTTCAATTCGAATTCTTTGAATCTCAAGTTGAAGAGCTGGGCTCAACTCAACTCAAAGAGGTCCCAACTCGAACTCTTGGTTTTATCTAGGTTCTTTTTGATTCAAGTTCAATTCGAACTTGAGTTCTTGTTTTTTCTCAATTCGAACTGGCTTGTTGTTTTATCGAATGTTTTAGGGTTGAGGGTAGATGTTCAGTACGTCGATTGTTTCAATTGACAGAATTATTTCGGCGAGGATTGTTTAGGGTGTTGCAGCTCCAGTTCGGATTTTTTTTAGGGTTGCAGATGCAAAACCAAAGGTAAAAATGGTATTACTTCGACTTTAATTGTTTTAATTTATTATATTATCTTGAATTATAGAGTGGAATTGGTGCGATTATCTGCAACAATTAAACAATGGAATTATTGCGACCATGTTAAGGTAATATTAATTGGATGTAGATGCGTGCAATTATGCTGCTCTGAAATGTTCATTTGATGGAATTAGGTGAATTTTGCATTTGAAATGTTCATTGGATGGAATGAGGTGAATTTTGCATTTGAAATGTTCATTGGATGAAATGAGGTGAATTATTCATTCGAATTATTCATTCATTGGCGCTCATTATTCGTTCTATATATGTGATATCGTGTTATGGTGTGAAATCGTATCGAGTTTCGATTTGTTATAATTGATTGTGGGTAGATCAGATTAGATTGAGTATTGTGTGTAATGTAGTTAACACACCGTATTTGATGTATTCATTCTTGACAGGATTATGAAAATGTCAGCGGGGAATGGTAAGCGTAAACGTACAATGGTGAGGGTTTTTTTAGATGTATTCTTTAGGCTGGGGATGTGATTATGTTTTGAACTATGGTTTTATGTTTTGGTAATGAAGGTTGGGGCTGAAGATGAAGAGGGGTATGGGCTCAGTAAGAAGAGTAAGGTATGTGAGCAGAAGACCATGCACTTGTATCCAGAATTGTTTAAGGTACTACAATATGGAATTATGTGCGTGTGAAATTGGTGTTTTTGCGTGATTATGGTTTATGCATGAATTAAGTTACTAGTGTGCTCAGGATGACGGATTAAGTTACGGAGGGGCTGTCAAAGGTAGAGCGGAGGTGATGTGTAATACCCCTAATAATTCTATACTCCATCTACATATATTTCTAAAGAAAGTTTGGTTTAGTTTTACTTTCTCTCAAATACGAGTAAGTTTTTTTTTTTTTTTTTTTATTTTTTTTTTTATTTTTTTTTAAGTTTTAGGACGAAACTTGTTTTAAGCAGGGTAGATTGTAATACCCAAAATTTTTCTATTTTAAGTTTCGGGGACGAAACTTGTTTTAAGGAAGGTAGATTGTAATACCCGAATATTTTAAGATTTTATCAAATATATTTTATGGCTAAAATATGATATTTTAAATTATTTTATGCATTTTTATACTCTATTTTTGTTATCCTATAAAAATTATCTTAACCCCTAATATAGTTATCAATTGCTTTAAAAAAAAAATGCCGTATTATTTATGTTTGTGCGTGTATTTCATAATCCAACCCCAAATTTTGATTCTTCTTAAAAGTTTTTCGTTCCTTTTCCAATCTCCATGATAACTCTTGATCAAACCCATTATTATTACATTTTCCCAAACTTACAAGTTTTGTGCGTGAGTTTTAATCGTGATGATGGAGTATCTTGTGCGTGAATTGTTGTTAATCGTGAATCGGTGGAGTACCTTGCTCTTATATTTGCTTAATTGTTTACGAAAGGTAATCACACAATTTTAATTTTTGGAGTTGTTTGATTAAGATTGTTAGTATTATTGTATTTCGTATTATTGTGTGTAAAATTTTATAATTTGTTATTTATAGGATCGATTTATATATATGTCATTTGTGTGTTGTATTATATGATTTAATTGTTGTATTAATTGATTGTGTTATTATATCTAGGGTTTTTCATATTGTTGCTATAGGGAGTATTGTTATATTGAGGTTTTAGAGTTATTAATGCAGAGTATTATTTTTGGGTTGTGAGTTAATTATATTTGGGAGCTAGTATGTTTGCCCTGTAAGTGTTGAGATATTATATGAATCGAGTACGTCATGTTATATAATTTGGAAACCTGTGCCATTATTGAGATATTATTTACTAGCTTGTGAATGGTTATTTGATCAAAGTATGAGATCAAAAAGAATTATTCTTTTTTTCTTGGTTTGAGGCTCGATGTTAATTACCTTAGTCCTTGACATGTTGGTAAGATAGGCAGGACCTCTTTCTATTTGGATTTTGGATCTAACTAGTGTACCAAAATGCCTCCCCCTTTTCTCCTATTTTTCTTTACTTTTTTCCTCCTTTTCTTTGGCCCTTTATAAAATAAATCTAGAAATATGAAGAAGACAAAAAAGGGTGAAGGCATTTACAATGGCAAGATTTGGCCAGTCTCATTCAAAAAGACAAGCCAGAGTTATATATAGAATGAAAGTCTTTATTGCTAAAATTGACGGTATCAAGATTTTAGTTTAATGTAATAGGCTAATTGCACTACTACAAATATGGCCTAAAGTATCACTAATAAGAAACCCCTTTTAGTAAATAGGGGGTTTTTTAATAAAAGTAACGTATGATCTAAGAAAAGGGGTCTCTTTAAATGAGATATAAGAGACCCCTCGTTAAAAAATGAGGTTCCTTATTTAGTATTAAAATTTAACCAAACTTAAGGAACCTTTTATACTCAAAACCGGTTTCTTATGTTTTTTTAATTAAATTAAAAAAAATGAAAAAATAAAATTGGTAAGTGCAAAACTAGCTGCTGTATTTCATTCACCTATACATTAAAAATATTAAATTCACACTTTACCGTACCGCCACTACTACACTCAACCTTCCATCTTCCTCCATTACCTCCAATTACGATCAACCTCCAATCTTCCTCCATTCTTCCAATTTCGCATAAGCCCTTGCCCATCACAAAAGTGATTGCTCATTCTCTTATCAGCCTACTAAAGCCACCATCGCCAATTTTCTCAAGTTTTTGTGTCGTCTAAACTACCGCCGGCACCGCCACAGAAGCCACCGAAACCATCACCGCCACTGAAGCCACCGCTCATCATCTCTGCAGAATTTGCATGTTGTTTTATTCTTGGTAATTTTTAATTTCGATTTCGTATAATTGGTTTTTAATTTAATTAATTTGATGATAAAAATACCCTAATTTTGTTCTGTTGTTAATTTTTTTTTCGATTTCGTGTGATTGGTTTTATATTACATATGCACTTGCTTGGAAATCATACTTTTAGAGTAATATTCATAATCGAACCATTGAAATTAAGGGTTAAATTTTATGACTTCTTATAATGTTTGGCGATGAATTTAAGAGAAACAATTGTTGACAATTGGGTATGCATGTATGGCTAAATTAAAATTGAGATTAAGTTTGTCTCTTCTATGTATTTTGGTTTGGATATGTTTTATGGCTTTGGTTAAACGATGTTTTGGCTTGGTTGTTGGAATTGCTATGGAAGCATCTCTCAAACTCTTTGTGGTTTATTAAGTTTTAATATATTCCCTTTTCTTTTTTTTTTTTTTTAAAAAAAGACTTCAATCATATATCATTAATATATTGCATTTTGCACTAGTAGTACTTCAGTACAAAAATATCAAAGAGGCTGTCTCCTAGGACATATATCCTTTACTTATACTAAATTAATATTATTCACTTTTTAGCTTTTGTATTCATTTTTTTTTATGGTATATGCAACCCATTTTGTGTGGATTTGCATTGGACATATCAATTATTTCGACTTTTTTTTATTGAGGTGCTACATATTTTGATAAGGTAAGTAACATTTCTGTAAATCCTTTTGGCTATCTTTTGTTAATTTAATATGATAGTTATATTGCTAGTTATCTTTATTTTATATGCATGGAAGAAAAGAATAAATAACCACATTTTGTTGCTATAAATTATTACATGGGTCAGATTATATGACATGCCTTTTGATTTTATGCCAATTTGTTTATTTTGAGAAATTTATTATTGTTTACCCGATTCTCTTTTAAGTGGGGTCAATTTTGGTTTTGACCATCAAGTTTTGGGTATGAGTTTCTACCAAAGTTATAAAAAGGAAAGAATAAAAAAAAAAAAAAAATATATATGTTACTACTTCATTCCCATTTTTTTTTTGTTTATTAATCTTTTATTTTCTCACTCTTAACTGAACTGCTCATCTTTGTACACATCACTATAAAATGTTATTTAATTTGATCAACATTGTGTTAGTTAATTTAAATGTCATATTAAGTGTAGAAATGGACCGAAGTTGGATAACTACATCAAAGCCAGGTGACCCAAAATATGTTGATGGTGTAAAAGAATTTATTACTTTTGCGGTGAAAAATAGTAGAGGCAGAGACAAGTCACCATGTCCTTGTTTTATGTGCCACAATCTCTTGCACAAGAGAGTTGATGAAATACTTAATCATCTCAGTAAATGGGCCTTTGATAGAACATATACCCATTGGACTTTTCATGGAGAATCTAGGGAAAAAATTTCTAAGGCCACTTCTATGGATGGTGTAAGGGAGGGTCATGCTAATTATGAAGGTGATCGTTTAGAGGACATGATACATGTAGTTGAGGACACAATCATTGAGGATCCTGCTGCTCTCCATACCTTATTAAATGATTCTGAAATGTCGTTGTACCCTGGTTGCACCAAGTATACCATATTGTCTGGTTTACTTAAATTATACAATTTGAAGGCAGGTCATAGTTGGTCAGATATTGGTTTTAATGCGTTGCTTGAATTATTAAAAGACATGCTTCCAGAAAATAATGTTCTTCCAAAAGGCGGTTATGAAGCAAAAAAGTTATTGTGCACAATGAGCTTGCGTTATGAGAAAATTCATGCGTGCCCTAACGATTGCATATTATATCGTAATGAACGAGAATCATTAGAGAGTTGCCCTATGTGTAAAGCCTCAAGATATAAAAAAAAGAAGGTGTGCCGGCTAAGTTATTATGGTATTTTCCGATAATACCCAGGTTTAGACGCATGTATTCAAACCCGGGAGATGCTGAGAAGTTAACTTGGCATGAACATGGCCGTAAAAAGGATGAGTTTCTTAGGCACCCAGCCGACTCCCCTCAATGGTCATTCATTGATGCAATGTTCCCTGAGTTTGGTAAAGAAGAACGTAATTTGCGCCTTGCATTGTCCACCGATGGTATGAACCCTTTTAGCTCCCTTAGAAGCACCTGTAGTACTTGGCCTGTAATTCTAGTCACTTACAACTTATCCCCTTCTTTGTGCATGAAAAGAAAGTACATGATGCTAACATTGTTAATTTCTGGGCCAAAACAACCGGAAATGACATTGATGTGTATTTAGAACCACTCATTGATGATTTGATCATATTATGGGATAAAGGTGTAGAGGTGTATGATGCTCATCGCAAAGAAATGTTCAATTTGAAGGCAATGTTGTTTACCACCATCCAGGACTTTCCATTTTACGATAATCTGTCAGGGTACACAGTGAAAGGTGGGTCAGCTTGTCCAGTGTGTGAAGATGGTTTCAAGGGAGTTTGGTTATATGGATCTGGAAAAACAGCTTATGTAGATCATCGATGTTTTTTGCCTAGTGATCATAGTTAACGTAAGCAAAAGAAAGCCTTTAATGGGAAACAAATGTTTGATGATCGTCCAAAGGTCTTCGCTAGTGAGGAGGTGTTTCAGAAGGTAAAGGATATTCAGATTACCTTTGGGAAAAAAAATTAAAAAAAAAACTTCCCAAACAAGGTTATAAGAAGTGTTGTGGTTTTTGGCGTTTGACATACTGGAGATTCCTTTTTGTGAGACATTCTTTAGATGCAATGCATATAGAGAAAAATGTGTGTGATAGTCTTATTGGTACTTTGTTAAACATCTCTGGGAAAACGAAAGATGGCCCTAGAGCAAGAGCTGACTTAGAAATCATGGGGATTAGAGCTGAACTTCTTCCAGTTGAAAAGATAAAAGATGGCCCTAAATATTTGCCTCCTGCTGCTTTTACATTATCAAAGAAAGAAAAAGTTGAATTTTGTGAGAGTTTGGCTAGAGTGAAAGTTCCAGAGGGTTATTCTTCAAACATTCACAACCTTGTTTCCATGGAAAACTTGAAACTTGTGGGTCCTAAGTCCCATGATTGTCATGTCTTGATGCAACATTTGTTACTAGTGGCTATTCGTTCAATTTTACCTAAAAATGTCCGACATGCCATCATTAGATTGTGTTCTTTCTTTAATGCAATCTACAATAAAGTTATTAATCCTAAAGAACTAGATGACTTAGAGGAAGAGATTATCATTATTTTGTGCCAGTTAGACATGTATTTCCCTCCATCATTTTTTGATATAATGATTCATTTGACTCTACACCTGGTTAGAGAGGTAAGATATTGTGGGCCTGTGTATCTGAGAGCTCAGTGGGCTTTTGAAAGGCAAATGAAAACCTATAAGGGTTATGTGATGAATGCTTATTACCCTGAAGGTTGTATAGCTGAGCGAGTCCAGTACGAAATTGCTATTGCACTTTGTAGTGAATTTTTAGGAGATGGGAAAATGATTGGACTGCCTATATCTCGTCATGATGATAGGATAGATGGGAAGGGTATCATTGGTTATAAACAAGCTGACTTGTCTAGTGTCAAGTGGATTAAGGCCCATACATATGTTCTGCATAATGAGGATGAAGTAGCACCTTATGTTGAGCAACACAAAACTTTCTTGAAAAAAAGTATAATCGGAAGACAACTGAGAAGTTCATAGCAAATGAGCATAATCAGACATTTTTTACCTGGTTCAAGGAAAAAGTAATGAAAGAATTTCAATTGTCACCAGAATCTATTTCTGATCGTTTGAAGTGTTTAGCATATGGGCCTAACTTCAGTGCCTCTTTTTATTCTGGGTATATGATTAATGGTTGCACATTTTACACCAAGGATCAAGACGTAATTAGTACTATGCAAAATAGTGGAGTTACTTTAGAAGCTGAAGCCATGCATTTTTCTAGTGTCAAAGATAAGAAACCTGTATTGTAAAATGCGTTACTATGGTGTCATAGAAGAAATTTGTGAGTTGCATTACAATGGTTTCTTGATACCTTTATTTGGATGCAAATGGGTTGATAACTCTAGTGGCGTTTCCATTGACGACTTATTAGGATTCACCATGGTAAATCTTGACAAACAAGGGCATAAAGAAGATCCTTACATATTGGCTAATCAAGCTAAACAAGTATTTTATGTGACTGATCCAGCTGATAAGAGAAAGTCAATAGTTATTTCACCTTCGCCTCGATATGCAGTAGATGAGTATGAAAATTATAATCTGGAGGAAGGATCCACCTTTAAGACACTACTAGAAAACAGGCCATTTTCGACGGAAAAATTCCGTTGGAAACACCCTAAATTCCGTCGGAAAACACTGTTCCGATGGAAATTCTGTCGGAAATGGTTGTTGTAAAAATGTTTGTAGGAAAAACGGCCTTTTCCGTCGGAACAGTGTTTACCGACGGAATTCCGACAGAATTTTCTCATCGGAAGAGGTGTTCTGGAAAGTCCGTCAGAATTCAAATCCGCCGGAAACTTCCGACGGAATTTCCGTCGGAATCTGCTATAAAGATAAATAAAAAAAAAACGCCCTGCGACCTCCGGCAGGGCGTGTCACCACCTCGTAACATCAACCACCACCACCCTCACCCTAAACAACAAACCAGATCCCCCACCCTCCCAACCCAGACCACACCCCCACCACCCCAACCCAACCCAGACCAGACCCCCCACCACCCCAACCCAACCCAGACTAGACCCCCCACCACCCCAACCCAAACCAAACCCCCTTCACCACCCCAACCCAGACCAGACCCCCCCACCACCCCAACCCAACCCAGACTAGACCCCCCCACCACTTCAACCCAACCCAGACCAGACCCCCCCACCACCCTAACCCAGAACAAACCTACCCCACCCACTCTAACCATCCACCCACCCTAACGAAACCTACCCTACCCACCCTAACCAACGATCGAACCCACCCACCTAGAAACAACCAAATCGGAACCCACTACCAACCCACAAACCCACTACCAACGAAACCCCAACCCCAAAATAAAATCGAGACAAACCAAAAATCGAAACATCCAAAAATCGAAAAAAAATAAACAAAAACATTGAAATCAAACAAAATAAATAAATATACAATTATCTTACGAAATTAATAAAATAACATTACAATTATATCAAAAAAAAAATTATAATCAGAATTTGTTTTTTTTTAAAAAAAAAACTTAGATCTACAGTTGTGGTTGTTGTCGTTGCGGCTGCCTGCTGGTGTTGTTGTTGTCGTTGAGGTGGTTGTTGTTGTTGTCGCTGCGCGGTGGTGTGGTTGTTGTGTTGTTGTGTTGGCGTTGAGGTGGTCAGAAAAGGGGAAAGAAGAGGAGAGAAGGAGGAGATTGAAGAAGAGGCAAGAAGGAGGAGATTGAAGAAGATAGAACGAACGAAATGAGAAGGGAAAGAACGAGAGAAGAGAGAACTAGAACAGAGGAGAGAGAAAGAGAAGAAGAGAGGAGAGAGAACAAGGAGAGGCGGGGAGAGAGAAGATGAGAGGAAAGAGATTAAAATGGGTTGGGCCGTGTATTTAGGAGTTTAGGGGTTTTTTTTTATTATTATATAATTATATTCCGACGGAATATTCCGTCGGAAATGTAATGTTCCGACAGAATATTCCGTCGGAAATTAAATGTTCCGACGGAATATTCCGTAGGAAAATTCCTACGGATTTCTTTTTCTTAGGAAGTTTGATGTTCCGACGGAATTTTCCGTCGGAAATTTCCGACGGATTTTATTTCCGTTGGAAATTTAATGTTCCGACGGAATATTCCGTCAGAAAGCCTATATTTTCCTAAGGATTTATATTCCATCGGAAGTTTCCTACTAAATATAAAATCCGTCGGAATTTCCGACGGAAATACATGTCCGTCGGAATTCGACCTATTTCTAGTAGTGAGAAGGGGCCACTCGGGGATGATATTAATGGTGATTCTTCAATATATGTAAGACAAGACCATGATGAAGGTATGTGGGATGAAACAGATTCTAAAAAGGCAAAGTCCCGAAAACGTCGTCGTAAATCAAATTCTAGACAAAACTGAGGTGTGTGCTAAATATATATTTAGGATACTGATACGCATATGTCATTCATGGAACAACCTTTCTTTCTCTATTTTATTTTTATTATAGTTGAACTGTGGAAATGTATACACACACACACACACACACATATCTCTAAGTTTATACCCCCAATTTTTGTATTTGGATATGATAGCTTCTAATAAATGAAATTTGGCAGCTTAATGGCAAAAAAGAAAAAGCATGCAAGTCAGTCTACAAACAATGCAACTTCTGATGCAGAAAAATAATGCATCTGATACTGAAATAAATAATCGTGAGGAAGAGAGAGGCCGCACTGTACTTGCAATTGTGGGGAAAGCAATTCAAAGCGGTACCAAAATCCCTGTGGAATGGCATCCTACATATGGAGTTCCATGTGGTGATAAAAAAAACCGCACTACCTTTTCTTCTTATATTGGTGTAGTTGCTCGTGAACGTGTAAACATTAACTATAAAAACTGGGGTGATGTTCCAAAAGAAATAGTGGATGAAGTGTATGAAATCATTGCAGTAAGCATTTACCTTTGCAAATTCATCATGCTTTAATATAAATCAACATGCATGAGGTTGTTTATATGTATTACTAGTTTATTACTTTTTACAGATTTTATGTATTAATAAAAATAACATTTTTTTCAGAAAGGATTTGATGTACCAGAGAAGCGCAAAAAATATATCTTAGGGAGGGCTTCTATTCGATGGAGGGCCTTCAAAACAAGATTGAGAAAGTACTGGCTATACAAGGTATATGGAAATAAGAAAGTGGTAAGGAAAACATCGCCATGGAAATATCCAATGATACTGCAAACTGATTGGAACAAATTTATAAAGATTTATACCGAAGATGATGCATTTCAGGTATTCTTATACTATACAAGTATTTTTTAGATTGTGCTAGGAATGGAAATAAGCCTCCTATCATAGCTATATACGTGAGACGCAAGAAGGGAATTGTTTGATGCTTGAGTTGGTTATTGAGTTTGTTAAAAGCTTTCTGTTATTAGCATTTTGTTAATTGTAATAATGAGTCTGTTGGGGGGCTTAATAGTCTTTACTGTATAACAGAATATGATTCTGTTAAGGGGTTTGCTGAGGTGTCTAGAGTTTGTTATGCTAATAATACCACATAATGTATGAAAGTATGAGAATGGACAATATTAGCCAAATTTATAAAAAGTGTGGAATATTAGTAGCTAAGTAGGATTAATTCTAGAATTTATTACTCTAAAGATAAAGTCATTTACCTCATGAAAAAAGTTGTTGCAACAAATACACCCCCAGGTCTTAATATTTGACTTATTTCAGCAACCTAGATATTAGTTAACACCAAAAAAGTGATAATTTGATTGTAAGTTTAATGGACCACTCTCCTGGAGAAGAAAATGAAGGAAATAGATAGAAGAAATAGCTAAAATGACTTGATGCAATCTTCCCTTTATAACACTTGCTGAATATTAGCAGCGGTGTAAGATATTAAGCAACACGAGTCAAATTAAATGAGTTCAGATCCCTGTGTATAGCATGTTTCTCCAATAAGTATCCTAGCACCATAAAGGATAAACTAAGAAGATCTGTAATTGATTTACAGAGCTCAAAGGCCAAGTATATAATTATAAACAGTATATATAAAGAATATAGCCTTTAAAAAACTAAGCTACATTAAGAAATTCAAGCTATCTCAACATCAGAATAGAGTTTGAAGGTAACAATGATGTATTGCAGAGGATATCTGAACTGCTATCTCAACATCAGAATAGAGTCTGAAGGATTACAATGATGATATAACAGAGGATCTCTGATCATTTATTGGTCTACATTTGGCTAATATTGGTCCATTCTCGAATGAAAGCTAGCTTGTATTAGTGGTTACTCTGACCAGATTAATACAGCCCTGATTACAGCTCTAATTCTTCTTCTTCTTCTCTCTTATAATTCTGTTTTCCTACTTCCTTCTTCTTCTTTTTTTCTGTATTACTGTTCTGGTGTCTTGCAGATTGTTTGTATTTGATAATATTGTATACACTACTAGAAAACATCCGATTTACGACGAAAAAATTCCGTCGGTACACCTTGTAAATCCGTCGGAAATGACTATTTCCGGCGGAATTCCGTCGGAACACGTTGTCGGAGATCACTTAGTCGGAAAAACGGCCATTTTCGTCGAAATTCCGTCGGAAAACACTATTCCGACGAAATTTTTTCGTCAGAAGAGGTTTTTCCGGTACCGGAAAGTCCGTCGGAGATTTCCGACGGAATTTAAATCCGTTGGAAAATTCCGACGGAAATTCCGTCGGAAATTTTTAAAAGAAAAAAAAAACCCCACTCACCTCCCACCCCCACGCCCCACAACCCAGATCCCCACCCCCTGCACCCCCCACCTCCCCCACCACCAGCCCACCCCTTGCACCCACCCCCTGTACCAGCCCACCCCCACGCCCCACAACCCAGATCCCCACCACCAGCCTACCCCCACGCCCCACAACCCAGATCCCCACCCACCAGCCCACCCCCACCCCCACGCCCCACAACCCACCACCGAATACCCACACCAGCCCACCCACCTCAACCACATTCCAAAAAATAAACAAATTCAAAATTCAAAATCAAAATAAAAAAAAATCAAAAAATAGAAAATACAGAGAATAAAAACGAATTAAGCCGAAAAAAATTCAAGAAAACGAAAAATCAGAATAAAAAAACGAAAAATGGCGAAAAAAAACAAAAACACAAATATAAAGAAAAATCAAAACTAAAACACAAAAATATTAGAAAAAAAAAGGTAAAAATGCCGAAAAAAAAAAGAAAGAGAATAAGAGAACTTACCTTGAATTCCATCAAAACCCCTAATTTTGCTTGAATTTGGGTTTTAAAGGTCAAATTCGACCATGAAAAATCTAGATCTAGGGTTTTCATGGTCGAATTTGACATAAAACCGTATTTTGTTGGTTCGTGGTTCGTGGTTGCGTAGCGGCGGTGGTTCATGGTTACAAATGGCGGTGGTTCGTGGTTACAAATGGCGGTGGTTCGTGGAACAAGATGCGGTGGTTCGTGGCTTTGGAAAACGAAGGGGAAGGGGAAGGAGGAGGAGAAGGAGGAGAGAGAAAGAAGGGGAAGGAGAAGGAGGAAACGGGGACGCAGGAGAAGGAGGAAAGAGGAAAGAAAGGAGAAGGAGAAGGAGGAAAGGGGGACGCAGGAGAAGGAGGAAAGAAAGGAGAAGGAGAAGGAGGAAAAGCAGAGAAGGAGAAGGAGGAAAAGCAGAGAAGGAGAAGAGGGGAGGAGAAAGAGAAACAAAGAAGTCCGGGTTTTTTTTAATATATATATGGAAGTTCCGACAGATAAAAAATCCGTCGGAATATTTGGTTTTTCCGAGGGATTTTTCCGTAGGAAAATTCCGACGGATTTAAATTCCGTAGGTAAACCAACATTCCGACGGAATATTCCGTCGGAAGCCTTTTATTCCAAGGGAATTAATTTCCGTCGTAAAGAACCTTTTCCAACGGAAAGTTCCGACATACCTTAATTCCGTCGGAATTTAGGTCCGTCGGAACGATTCCCTCGGAAAACGGCCTATTTCTAGTAGTGATACTAACTAGGTATGGTATCTAATGCAAAGGAATTAAGCGAAAAGAATCGAGAAAGGTCATTGAAAAAGAATACAAACTACCGAGGAGGCAGACTAGGATACCTTTACTATGAAGAAGAGATCGTAAGTAGTTGGAAAATCAGTTTAATTAAGTATAAATCTGAATTTTGAGCTGAATGTTGGATTTGTTGCTGCCAAACATTAGGTAAAAGAACTTCAGAACAAAGGTATTCATGTCACACAAGTTCCTCGACATTTAGTTTGGCTCAAAGCCCATTCTAAAGAAAAAGATGGCCAAATGGTATTTGAGAATCGTGTTGATGATGTAATCGCACAAGCAATTGAAAGAATTAACTCTAATTTCAAGTCATTAAAATTGTTAGTTGCAAGTTTCTTGTTTTAAGTTCAAATTATGGGTCATGTTCTGCGTACAGGTCATAACTAATTTTATTAATTATTATTTGTTTACTTCTTTAATAATTTTTTTATCAGAGTACGTTGGATGCCCAAGCTCAAAGAGGAGAAATAACCGCCAAGGGTCGGGATGACGTATTAGCCAAAGCAATAAATAAGCCTGAGCATGGTGGTCGTGTAAGGGCTGTTGGATCGAGCGTTTCAAATAAGGCATATTTTGGGTACAACCGACCAACACCTCCAAATCGTATGCAGGCACAAGTCCAATTATCTGATGAAAGAGATGGTTACGTTGATGCCTTACATTATATCAAGCCCTGATTTCAACCTAGATCAATTTAGACAATTCATGACAAGTGGTGGTGCTTTAGGCGGCCAAGGGTCGGTGAGTACTCCATTTGGGAGTTATGTTGCCCTACTTGGTGGCCAAGGGTTGGATGCTTCCCAATTTGGTTTCCCTATGCAAGGGTTTGGTGGTCCTCAATTTAGTGCTCTTAATGGACAACTTAGTTGCTCAAGTGGCCAAGTAGGTGGATGTGATGTCAATAATGTTGGTTTTAACGGCCTTGGTGCTCATTTAAGTAAACATGTTGGCAGAGACAATGTAGACCTTGAAATAAATGGTACTTCGGAACCTAACCAGGAGGAGATTTTGCCTTACCATGTTCATTGGCCCAAGCAACACTTAATGCGAAGTGATCAACAAATAGAGCAAAATCGTGCTTCTTCTCCTCAAATAAGTCATGAGCTAATTGATGATGATCTGATTACTCATAATCAATTTAGAAGTGGTCTGACAAGGCATGATCCAGTGAGTGTTATTGAACATACTCTTCCCGAGGTACATTATTCTTTTTCAATTATTTAATACTCAACCGCATTCTTAGCCTTATTATAAGTATTTCTCATGGTATATTAATTCAAATTGTACATGATAAGGGTTGGAGTGATTGTTCTTTGGCAATTCAAAGTGAGAAGGAGCTACATATTGTTGCCAAGGGAAAGGTGGAAAAAAGAAAATCAGAACAAGTAATTACTGTTCATAATGTTAAGATTGTGACTGGTCTTCTACGAGTCTTGGTTGATCAAGTGGTGATGCTAGCAGCTCTTATGCCATGTCCAACCTCATAGTTCACGTACGTTTCTCAAGCTAAGGGTAGTTTTTCTCCCTGGCCAAGTCACTTGATTTTCCAATGATGAAGGTAAAATTTTATTCTTATAATATTACAAAATTATGTCCCAAAGTGGTTATTCAAGTCTCGGGTTTGTATGTTAGTTTAATCATTTTTCTTTTTGATTTGTGCTTTTACTTTAAAGGATGATGAACAAACAACAAAACTACTTGATCAACCCCTGACTACTCCATCCCCAGAAACACCATCATCACAAGCATCCACTACCCATAATTAAGTACGTCATCAGAGATGAGGATTGTGCTAAGTTAACTACCAGTTTGTTGCGAAAATTCAAAATTGAAGCTGGGAGAATGAAAGAAAATGATATTGCATATCAATAACAATCCCAACAAGTGTGTATGGACATGAGCAGAAACTTAAAATTGATTATGCATACATTTTTGACTGGTGCTTTCAAAGAGAGATTGGAGCTTCACATTTGTCTATCTTTATGAAGTAAATGCCTAGTGACTTACCTTTTTTTTCTATTGCTTTCTAACTATCAGTTTTATATTATTTGTAATAATATATTGCTTTCTAACTATCAGTTTTATATTATTTGTAATAATATGTTAATTGATGTGGAAGGTACTTGAGCGAAATGTGTAAACAAGATAGTGTTGCTGGAATGTATGGATTTTCCGATATTGGTTGTTTATCTCCACCAATGACTGAAAAAGGACGGTCAGACTATTTAGCAAGTGTGTTTGGTCAAAATGAAGGGAAGAATAGTAAGTGTGAATTATATATAAAACTATTTTTTGGGATGTTCAATGATAATAATGTCAATGTTACTTCTCTTACTAATGTTACATATAGTCGGCATTGGATGGTTGCGATCATTAAACCTTGGAATGCAGTGGTGTTTTGGCTAGATCCAGATGGAGCAGAAAATGAAATTAGTGAATTTGCTCAAAAGACCATCAATGAGTATGTAGTACATCACATATTCATTATATCTACATATAATGTGCTTAAAATCAGTTTACTTTCTTTGTGTTGTGATTGTTTAATTTATGAGGACTTATATTGCAATATCGATAATTACTAATCTAATTTTTTTATATTACATTTTTTTAGTGGGATAAAAAAGTTTAGCCAAAAACATCGAAAAGACATTATCAAGATAAAAAAGAATCTAGGAATTAGGTTTTAGTTAATTTATACAAAGCTTCTTAATAATTATAAAAAAGAATTATCATGTGACATAACTAATTGTTTACTTTTGCAAGTGTCCTCGTCAATCACTAAATTCCTGCGATAGTGGATACTATGTGTGCCGCTACATGCTTGAGACTATAGACAAAAGACGACAAGTGATTCCTCATCAGGTATTATTCATGCATGCATAATGTATATTTATTCTAAAGAAAAAAAAATTTGTTTTCATTTTTTTTAATTCTGTTTTCAATTTTTTATTCTGTTTTCATTTATATTACTTGTTTTTATCTATATTATTCTGTTTTTGTATTCTGTATTATGTTTCTGGGGGAAACATACTCCATGTTTCTGGGGCAAGTTTACAGATTCTGTAGCCAACTTTGAAGGCTACTTTAAGATTATCAGCCTGTTAGAAGTGCATTATTTATTTGCCCTGGAAATGGGCTGGAAGTTTGATTGAGTCTGAACCACTGCATTATATGGATGTGAGAATGATCATATCAATAATTTTGGTCAAACTATCTTCCGGAAGTTGTACACATAACTAACATCAGTTATCTTAAGGCCTTTATGATTGTTCATTAAGAAGCTGGTCATACATTCTATAATAGCAGTTAAGAACCCAGAAGCTTTTAATTGCTCAACTTTGTTTGTGTTGGCTATGTTCTAATTGTACTAAAATAGGTATCCGGCATATGACGGCATGAATAAGTAAAAGATGCAGGCACATAAATATTGTGGTTTTGAAAATTCAGTCATTACAACTTTAGTCACATGAACTAAACTGGTTCAGTTAAGGTCAATTTGTCGATCATGTATCAGCTAGGGTCAAGTAATGCTTTACTATGGTGTGTTTTCTTTGTGGTGGGCTTCAATGCTTTTTTACACTATAGAAATTTTTACATTCATATGAAATAATTCATGCTTGATTTTAAACAGAAATAAGGCATGTAAAGTTAGTTTACATTGTCTTTTTCATGTTCTTCATAGTGTACTTTAACTCGATGTATTTGTAGTTATTAACGCGTGTTGTTAATGCTTTATATGTAGTACTTTACTGGAGTATCTTCTTCTTATTCTCAAGCAAATATTGACGAGCTAAGAGACTTATGGGTTAATTATGTGAACGAGCATAAGCAAGTCGGTGAAGAATATGACGATGGTGTGGATTATGATGAGTAAATTTATATGCATCGCGCTACCATTACAATTTTAGTATTTTATATTGTCTTTTTTCCTTTGGTACCACGTACAACATAAACACTCTAAATTTGTACTCGTAGTAAAATATTTATTTTCGATGAAAGTATGCAATATTTTATCTTGTACAGTAGCTTATTTTCATATTTTTGTTTATATATATATATATATATATATATATATATATATATATATATATATATATATATATATATACAGGTTTGTCACCTGTTGGGTACTCGTTACATTATGTTACTTTAAAAAAAATCAAAAAAAGAATAAATAAATAAGAAACCGGTTGTCTAACAAATCTTGCCGTCAATTCATTCATATTATTATTATTATTATTATTATTATATTTTAAAATTTTGAGCCTAGATAAGAGACCCCTTTTCCAATTCAATCCCATTTGCATGTACCCGGTGTACAGTATTTTTACTGTACATCGGGTTTTCGCACGTGCTTTTTTTTTAAAAAAAGAAAATCGCAGAATTTCAAATACCTAAAAATAAAAAAAACGCAGAACAACAATGGAGGAGAGAGAAAGTGAGAAAACGCAGCTATCAATCATCCATTGAGGAGAGAGAAAGTGAGAAATCGCAAAAATTGCAGAAAACGATCATCAATTGAGGAGAAAAAAGGTTAGAAAACGCAAAAATTGCAGAAATCGATCATCAATCGAGGAGAAAAAAGGTGAGAAAATGCACAAATAGAAGAATTTGATCATCAATTAAGGACAAAGAAAGTGAGAAAACTTACAAATTGCAGAATTCGATCATCAATGGAGAATTCGACTTTCGATACAACAAATTGCAGCAATCTCATTCACGAATTGCTACAAAAACAGAGGCAAATTGAGACTGAATTTGAAATCAATTTAAATCGATCGATTATAGAAGAAGAAGAAACTAATTGTTTTGGAGATGAATTCGTACCAATATTCAACAATCCAGACAATGCAGATTAAGCAATCGATAATGCAGATGAAGCAATTGAGAATGCAGAAGACGCAATTCACAATGCACAAAATCAAGTGGTTCCTGATAAATCAATTGATTCAAATTCAGAACAAACAACCAAATCAGATGCAACTGAAGGTAATTTCTATGAATTTTTGAGATTGTATGCAAAAAGTAACCCTTTGAATACATAATTGTTACCCTTTTCATGCATAAACGTGACCATACTTATGCCTAAATGTTACCCTCAGATTGAATGCAGAACTTTTTAGATTGCATGCAAAAAGTAACCCTTTGAATGCCTAAATGTTACCCTTTTCATGCTTAAAAGTGACCCTATTTATGCTCAAATGTTACACTCAGATTGTATGCTGAAAATTCAGATTGTATGCAAAAAGTAACCCTTTGAATGCCTAAACGTTACCTTTTTCATGCATAAAAGTTACCCTATTTATGCTCAAATGTTACACTCAGATTGTATGCTGAAAATTCAGATTGTATGCAAAAAGTAACCCTTTCAATGCCTAAATGTTACCTTTTTCATGCATAAAAGTTACCCTATTTTCAAACGAATATTACCCTTTTTTTTATGCTGTCTGTGGTTATTATCTGATTTGTTTGTATTAAATAACATATACAAATCCAATTGATGTTTATGGTTTAGATCTTAGAGGATCATTTGTTGGTGTGGTAAGAGAAACTTTTGAAGAAATTTTGGAATTGTATGAAAAACATGCTGCTATACTGGGGTTTTCAATAAGAAAACATACAACTAGATTCAAACAACACACAAAAATAGTAACTGAGAAAAACTATGTGTGTTCTGCTGAGGGAAAGAGACATTCAGGTCAGAAGAAAACAAAGTTAGTTGAAATGGTTTATGAAGAGGATGTAAATGTAAAAACAAGAAAGCCAAGACAAGTATCCATTACAAGATCAAATTGCAAGGCATGCATAAGAGCAAAAGTGAATAAAGAAGGACAGTTTGAGGTGGTGGCTCATGTTATTCAGCATAACCACGAGCTACCAAAGCCACAGTGGCATTATTTGCATCGTTCTGAAAGAAAAATGACAGAGGAAATAGTTGTAACAATCAAAACAATGAAATCTTCAGGTCTAACTACAATGGACACTTACAATTACATGGCTACAAAGGCTGGAGGAGAACAGAATATAGGCCATAGTGTTGTAGATCACCTGAATTTCTGCTCAAGGTTAACAATGGAACAAATTGAGGCTGGAGATGCTCAAACTTTAGTGAACATTTTAAGTCAGGAACAATCAGAGGATCCAAACTTCTTTTTTAGAGTGAAGTTTGACAAAGAAGGAAGAATTTGCAATATCTTTTGGAGAGATTCAATGATGCTAGAAGACTATAGGATATATGGAGAAGTTCTTGTCTTTGATACAACATACATAACCAACAGATATAATCTTATATGTGCTCCATTTGTTGGCATAAATAACCACTGGCATAATTGTATGTTTTCTTGTGCTTTTATTGGGGATGAAACGACAGATTCATTTGTGTGGTTACTACAAACCTTCTTCAAAGCTATGGAGGATAGAAAACCAACTTCAATATTCACTGACCAGGACCAAGCAATGGCAAATGCTATACTGGAGGTAAAAGATTTATATTGACATCTTACAGATTTGAGCTATGACAATAAAGTTTTCCTTTTTCACATAAAGTTACCCTTTTAGCTGCATAAAGTTACCCTTTTTAGTGCATAAAGTAACCCTTTTAACAACATAAAGTGACCCATTTATTTTCAATGCAGGTGATTCCTAATACAAGACATAGACTTTGTATATGGCATTTGGAGCAAAATGCCATAACCAGATGTGGAGCTCTTAAAAAAGACAAAGAATTCAAATTTGCATTCAACCAGTGCTTAAAGATGTGTGTGACAGAACAAGAATTCGAAGCAAAGTGGCAAGCAATGTTGCAAAAATATGAGTTGACAGAACACTCTTGGTACAAAAGAGTGTATGAGTTAAAAGACAAATGGTGTCCTCCCCTTTGTAGAGATTTCTTTTCAGCAGGGATCTTATTGTCACAAAGGAGTGAAAGCACTAATCATGCCATAGGATTCAGAGCAAGTAAAGCAACTACTTTGACAGAATTTTATACCATATTTAAGAAGACAACTAATCGTTGGAGAAGCACAGAGAAATATGATGAGTTTACCTATAGCAAGTCAATAACATTCACTTCATTGCCTCTATCTGGAATGCTAAAGCATGCCGCACAGGTAAAAAGTTAACTGACAAGTACATAAATTACACCTAATATATGGCAATTTAAATGAAGCTACATGATTTTGATGTACAGGTTTTCACTTTATCACTCTTTAGAAATTTTGAAGAGGAGTTTGGATACTCTATGGCAACAACTGTTCAAATGTTAGGCAATAATGAAGAATGCCTACTTTATCAAGTAACACTAGAAGACAAGCCATGGTCTGCACATCAAGTAAACTATATACAAGAGAGCCAAACTGTATGGTGTACTTGCAAAAACTTTGAAGCATCTGGATGGTTATGTTATCATTGCATCAGAATTCTACATTTGCATTCAGTAACAAGAATACCAGACAAGTATGTTTCAAAAACATGGACTAAGTTTGCAAAAACAGAGGCATGGGATAGGTTGAAGAATCAGGATCCTAAATAGCAATATATTCATGGAGGCAAACAATGATGAGGAAATACTACAATCTAATCTTAAAAAGTCAAGAAAATGAAGAGACAAGAGCATTTATGGAAGAAAGCTTCAGAAACAGTCTTAAAATGGTGGAAGACTTACTTGCTAGTGCTGCTCAGAAAGAAAGTGCAGAAGCTGCTTCTAACATTCCTGATGTGGCAGACAACACTCAAAGCAATACTGACGCTTCTTCAGCATCGAGTACAAGCACATGTGTACCAATAATTCTTGATCCTAAAAGGGCTGTAACAAAAGGAAGAAGCAAGAGAGCAAAAGGAGGACTTGAAAAAAGCAAGAGAAAAAGAAAACCAGCACTACCACCTCCAAATTCAGAATTTGGATCAAAGACACCTAACTTACGACTCTTTTAAGATCTTTTTTAGAACATTTTTTTTTTCGAATTAATATACCTTGTATTGTTAAACTATTTTTCTTTTGTTTTTTTACTCTATGACTAGTTTAATGAAAATGTGATTGACACTTTTATTAGCACATGTTTAATTATTGGAACACATCAACTTATGTTACCCTTTTAACGTATAAAAGTGACCCTTTTCATGCATAAAAGTGACCCTTTTCATGCATAAAAGTTATCCTTTCTATCCACTAAATCAACCTTTTCTTTGGCAATAGTTACCCTTTCTATTAATAAAAGTTAACCCTTTTATCAATAAAAGTTACCCTTTTCATGCATAAAAGTTACACTATCTACCCACAAAAGTATACCTTATCATGTATAAACTTATTATTTCTACCCACAAAAGTAACCCTTTTTATGCTACAAAGTAAACCTTTTTATGCATGAAAGTGACCCTTTTCATGCATAAAAGTTATCCTTTCTATCCACTAAATCAACCTTTTCTTTTCTAATAGTTACCCTTTCTGTTAATAAAAGTTACCCTTTTTATCACTAAAAGTTATCCTTTTCATGCATAAAACCCCTGACCCTTTTATTTTACAGAAAAAAGTGTCCCTTTTCATGAATAGAAGTGACCCTTTTTCTACATAAAAGTGACCCTTTTCATTGCTAAAATTACCATTTCTAACAATAAAATCTACCTTTTTCTTGCTTAAAAGTTACCCTTTCTATAAATAAAAGTTACCCTTTCTATAAATAAAAGTTACCCTTTTCTGCATAAAAGTTACCCCATAAAAAACATAAAAATAAACCTTTTAATTACATTATGTATTCACATACATCAGTATTCCAAAAACAACTAAAGACTTTAAACTAAGTTTAATTACATCATTAAACTTAATGTATGCACATACATTAAGTTTTTTCATTGTTAAAAAAACCCCCTGAACTAATCAGCTAACAACTATCAATTATTTCACTATTTAGAAGGAGTAAACTTTTTTGCCTGCTTTTTTGCCCTTTTTCCTTTGTTCTTTTCCTCTTCTCCCTCTGCCTTTGCTTCTGCTTCTGCTGCCATTTTTCTTTCTTCTGTTTCTCTCTTCTTCTTTGCAGCAATTGCAGCCTTTAATCTTTCTTCAATTCCATTGACATAAGCAGGATCTTTCTTCTTCTCATTGAACTTCTGTAATTCTGACAACACATCGTTCCTAGATTCATTCAAATCACACAGTACCAGTGTGGTACAGATCTCTCCTCATAAAAATTTCCTTCCATTAATCTCAAAACAGCAAAAAAATAAAAATTATCAATATGTAATTAATAAAAGCATTAGAAAGGAAAAAACTACAGAAAGTATATAGATAATTACTGTTTTGAGATCATTGAATTTGAACGATTCACCAACAAAATGGAGCATGTGATACATGACAAAGACCCCACAGTCCAAATTCTCAACTTTTTCTTTTCTCCATTCCAACTCAACAACTTCAAAACCATAAGAAGGTAGCTGAGAACTCTTTGGATGATTTCTTTTGCCAAGAAAAGCACCCATTTGAACACACTGACATAAAATATAAAATTTTAGAATACATTAAAATAAAAAAAGTTAAAATGGAAACAATGAATCAACAGTAACATAACAAAAAAAACAAACATAAACATACCATCTTTGAACACAATTCTTTTGTATAAACAAGAGCAGAATCAGTCCAGATAATGTTGTCAAGATAATATACCAACTCTTTTGTATGATCAATAACATACAAAATGTAGTGATTCTCAATAAGAACAGGAAAATAGATCTGAAACAGCAAAATTAAAGAGATTTAAACAGAGCATATCATAAAGAGAACTCTTTTAAATTTATTACATTAAGTTTAGAATAAAAATACCAGATCAGCATCCATTATATTACATTCTGGATTCTCATAGCTAACCCAACCTTCCCATATGTCGTGCAAATCCTTAACAGCACTAGATATGTTACCTTTGCCAATATTGTCACAAACATGCAAGAATGAAAACTATTAAAGTATAAGATCTCAATAATATATATATAAAGTAAATGTGTTAAGATATAAAAAAAGGAATGAAATAACTTACACTCTGCCTAACACCGAAGAAGAATTTCCGAGGACCAGTAGCCTGAAAACATGCTTTCTCATTCAAATACAGACAGAAGCAATCAATAACGCACCATCGAATCCTGAGTGGAGCAACAAGGGACACCATGTCTTCTCTTGGAATTAAATAGTTCATTCCAAAAGTAACAAGGCTTTTACTGAAACAATAAAAAATAAGATCAACATTAAAAAAAAAAATATAAGAAAAAAAACAGATAAAAAAATAATTATAATAAAAAAGGACACTTAACTTCCTATCCATTGAAACATCCTTCAGCAAACAATAATCGAGAATTTCCAAATGTAACTGAGGCAAATTCTTGAAAATCCGAGCATTGCTCTTTACAAAAAGAGTTACAAAAGGCACCTGCACACCTACATGTCCACAGTCCAGAGAACATAGAGATTTATTTGCTCTAAGTCGAGGAGGTTCATTTTGATCAATATGCCCGACAAGAATATTTTGAGTAGGACCAGGAATGATAGCAGAAGGTCCAGAACCATTAAGGCCTTCATTAACTATTTTTCCATGACCATTGTCATTATCCTTAGGAATATTTTCATTGAAACCTTGTGCAGGTTCTTTTTCAAGAACAAAATCTTTGTTACCTTCTGTAGGTTCATAAAAACTGCGAAACATATCATGTACAGACTTCATTTTATTACACTCATCAATTAAACCATCTAAAATCTTCGAATAATGAGGATCAGAGAGTAGCAGTTCAGTTTGAGAAACTGAAACAAAATCATCAGAAGATAATGAAACACTTCTGCGAGAAGTAATCAGATCATTCAAGGTTTGAAAACCAGTTGACTGAACAAATAATAAAACATCCATATTTCTTTTAAACAAAAGAAACGTTTCATGAACAACCTACAAACATATGAACAATGAAAAAAAATGTTACAAATAAAAATAATAAAATAAGTAGGAAATCTAAATATATGCTAAAAGTGACCCTTTTAAATGCATAAACTGACCCTTTTAAATGAAAAAAAGTTACCCTTTTTTATGAATAAAGTAACCCTTTTAACTTAATATTGAAGATAACTTTAATGAAACTAAAGGGTAACTTCGGTGCAAATAAAGGGTAACTTTGGTACACAAAAAGGGTAACTTTTGTACACAAAAGGGTAACTATTGTACACAAAATGGTAACTTTTGTACACAAAAAAGGGTAACTTTTGTACACAAAAAGCAATAATAACTAAACATATAAGAAAACAGAACACTTACATCAGTTGAATTTTTTTTAATTTCTTCATCGGTCATAATACCTTCTGGAAGCTCAAATGCAACAATGCGACCAGTGGTACCACTTGTAGAAGGACCCTTATCATAACCCAAAATAGGAGCTGGCTTAAAAACAGTTCCCCTAAAATTAAGCTGTGACACAGGATATGTAATAGTATCCAATGGTCCCTGCCCATAACCACCATCTTTGATCTCTAACTTAATTCGCTTCTTAATCTTTACATCCGTCCAATGTTGAATTAAAGGAAGAGTACTACTTTCCTTTTCACCTTGAAAATTTAGACGATGAAAATACATAATTTGCAAAACCAGCAAACAACCACTAACATTTTGAGCATTTTCATCATCCTTATACTTCTGAACAGCCTTCTTTAACTTTTTTAAAACATATGAACACCAATCAAAAGTTTTAATTTCATCAACTTTTTCAACATCTTTCAGCAACTTCAATGAAACAGTCCCATTAGTAGTAGGAGCTAAAAAGCTAGACATAGCTTGAAGAACAAAACACCTCTTAAATTCTTCCCCTCCATCAACCAAATCAACCATCCTAGACTCCAATTTTGACAAATGAAGAGGTTGCTTACCAGAAAGACCATAATCAGATCTCCATGCCTGAATGATACGTTTATCTACACTTTCATCTTCAGAATATTTATTAAGTTCAGGAACACAAATATCAGTCAAAGGCAAGCAAAACACATCGCATATATCATTTCTAGTAACAACAAATTCTTTACCAGTAGCGATGGTAAACATGCAGCTACCAGCATTGAAGTTTTCAACAAGCCAAGGTAGCATTTGACGATTAAGAGTTTTCAATTTAAGATGTAATAAACCTCCAAAACCAATTTCTTCAACAACCTGTTTTTGCTCAGGACTAAAGTTCTGCAGCAATATTTCCAATGAATAGGGTTCACATCTTGCAATGATTCTTCTTTGCTCCCTAAATAGAAAAAAAAAATGTAACTAAAACAATATAAAATAAAAACAAAATATAATTAAAAATGTAATAAAAAAATATGTATACTTACATAAAAGATTCAGAATCAGATTCAGAAAGCATTTCATAATCAGAATCTTCCACTGTATTAGCTTTCTTAGGTACAATTTTGGCCTTCTTAGGAACTATTTTGGCCTTCTCAGACTCTGGTTTGTCACTCTCAGGAATTTTCCCAGCCTTTTTAGATACTGCTTTGCTCTTCTCAGGAGCTATCTGGGTCTTTTTTGGTACTGGTTTAGGCTTAGCAGGCTCTTTAGGCTTTCCTTTTCCTTTTGTAGGCTTTTTATAACGATAACCACCTATTGAACCACCTGTATTTAATTATTAAAGTAATATAAATACAAATTCAGAAATTACTCATGGAAAAATATAGAATAATGTGCACAAATGACATTTTTAAATGCATAAAGTGACCCTTTTAACAGCACAAAGTAACCCTTTTAACAGCACAAAGTGACCCTTTCAACATCACAAAGTGACCCTTTTAACAGTATAAAGTGACCCTTTTAACAGCATAAAGTGACCCTTTTAACAGCATAAAGTGACCCTTTTATATGCAAAAAGTGACTCTTTTAACTGAAAAAGTTATTCATTTAACAACATTCACTGACTCTTTTCACAGCATAAAGTGACCCTTTTAACATCACAAAGTGACCCTTTTAACATCACAAAGTGACCCTTTTAACAGCATAAAGTGACCTTTTTAACAGCATAAAGTGACCCTTTTGTCTGCAAAAAGTGACCCTTTTATATGCAAAAAGTGACCCTTTTAACTGAAAAAGTTAATCATTTAACAACATATAGTGACTCTTTTAACAGCATAAAGTTACCCTTTTAACATCATAAAGTGAACATTGTCAAAACATATAAATGACACACATGTCTATTACTCAAACACAATGAGCAATGCATATATGCATGTTAATCAAACACAGATGCACAAACACAATGCGAATATGCCTATTATACACATAATCTAACTAAAACATTGTCAAAACATATAAATGACACATATATCTATTACTCACACACAATGCACAATGCACATATTAGTGTTACTCAAACACATATACACAAACACAATGCAGATATGCATACTATTCTCATAATCTAACTAAAACCTAAACAAATAATCAGTTTAATTAGCATTCTCTGACTAAAACCTAACATACAAAATTTGAAGAATAATAAGCAATGAATAAAACTTCTGAAAACAAACATGCAAAATTTGTTTAACATATAACAACACCACAACACATGTATAACAAATTTTGAACCAATTATACACAATGAACAATAAAATAAAGCAAAATTAAACATAATAACTTCAAAATTAAAATTCAATTATCATAATATGCATAAAAAATCAACAGAAAACTATAAAAAATAACATGCACTACTAATTCGACATATATAAGCGAAAATTCAATTGAAAATTTGAAAAAATGATGAAAAATTTAAATATACACACCTTCTTCAGCATCTACAACCTTCTTTGTAATCTTCTTCTTCACCATTTCAGAATCAAACACTACGAAAATCGAAAACAAAATCAAAAAACCTAAAAATCGAAGAACCAAAACAATTTAAACTAACAAAAATCTAAAAAAAAAATAAGTAACCGAACCTGAATTTAGCAAATAACAACTTCACAAGTGAAAGAGAAGAGAGAAAAAGCTCAAAAATCAACAATGGAGGAGATAGAACACGCTCGAAATTGCCAGTTAATTGCTTTTTAGAGAGAGAAAAACGAGGAGAGAGAAAGCTAGTGGTGAATGAATGAAGAGAGAAAATCGAGGAGAGAGAAAGTTCTATTTGTTCTTTATTTTGGCAATCATTATGACGCACGTGCCACCCTACTTAATTGGCAGTTGTTGGTTGTCCAAAATTTCCGCCATTCACTAATTTAATGAACACCGGCTTTTTTTAAAAATTTGTGTTTCCAATTAGGGGGTTTTTTAAAATGTGATATAAGAGACCCCTTCTTGCTCTTATGTGGTTCCATGTACAGTTTTCATGTATAATTTAAAGGGTTGGATAAATAACCACCTAAGAAAGAAAAGGGGTTTCTTATTGTCTTTAAGAAACCACCTCCAAAAAGGGGTTTCTTTACCTAAGAGGTCGCTGACCTTAAGACCCCCTCTCATGTGGTCTCAAAGGGAGGTTTTAGGGGGTTTCTTATGGGTTTTTTGTAGTAGTGTTGATTGTACACCCAAGAAGCAAGAATAGGATGCAGATGAATGATTTTGCTGGTCACATATTCTTGTAATCAAAATTTATACCTTAGTTATAGCTAAGATCTAAGTGCATAGTTTAGCAGTTGAACAATCTATTCTATAGAGAAGTGGTTAATTAATGTTATTGTAGCACATGTATCATCATATAATGAAGGAACAGTAAAAAGTAAAGTAAACACAGAAATTTGTATAGATAGATGTATTAGAAGCATTTCAAAGTTTGTGTGAGATGAGTAGCAATTAACATGTTTTGATTAAGTTAATTAAAGTCAAAAGAAATGAAGTACTTGGAATGCGATTATAAGAAAATCATACAATCTCCGAGTGATCAGCCCCCGTGCCGCACATGGACAAGATGAAATAGTAGTAAGTGGGAGCTAGAGCTACTAATCATATATTAAAATATTTTAATATAACTACTACCAATTCATTTAAATGTACCATTATATAACACTGGTACCTACTTGTATGTTCCGCAACTGAAAAACAACTGAAGTAGTATTAACTTATAGAGTCATGGCAAACTGGAATTTGTTGTTACTCGTCATCATTTCTATACTTGTAGTAAAACCATCATCATCAACCAATAATATTGTTGTTGGTGATGATACAACCATCGATGCCTTTATCCAATGCCTAGGGAAACAATCCCATCCTTCAAATTACCCTATCTCCGATGTTATATACACCCCAACTAACTCCTCCTTTCAGGAACTCCTCGACAACCGTATTCACAATCTTCGATATCAACAATCCACCACTCGCAAGCCGTTGCTCATTCTAGCTCCTAAGAGCGAGCTCAATGTGCCTGCTGTCATCACTTGCGCTAGAGCCAATGGTCTTAAGATCAAGATTAGGAGCGGGGGCCATGACTTCGAGGGGATCTCTTACACGGCCCCCTTTCCTTTCATCTTACTCGATTTGTTCAACCTCAACAGTGTTGAGATTGACATCAATGTTGAGACGGCATGGGTTCAATCGGGGGCCACTTTAGGCCAGATTTACTATAGGATTGCGGAGAAGAGCCCTGTCCATGCCTTCCCTGCAGGAGTGTGCCCCACCGTCGGTGCAGGGGGACACGTTAGTGGGGGAGGATATGGGGCCTTGATGAGAAAGTATGGCTTGTCTGTCGACAACATTGTCGATGCTCGTGTTGTCGATGCCAATGGGAAGATTCTGGATAGGGATGCAATGGGCGAGGACTTCTTCTGGGCCATTCGCGGTGGTGGAGGCTCTAGTTTCGGGGTCATCTTGGCTTGGAAGCTTCGTCTTGTTCGTGTGCCTCCTACCGTCACTGTCTTCAATGTCGAAAAAGATGTCGATTCTCCAGGTACATACGTGCTATAATATAATTATATAGGGAACAATTCGTACATATTTGATACTACCAAGGTTGTTAGGATCGGGATCCTACCTTGGATCGATGAGGGGGGATGGGATCGATAGAATCGGATCGTAGAATCGTACAAATATACTGTACATTTATTTAACAAATTTGTAATCCCAACAGGAGTAAATCACATCTTATACAAATGGCAAAACATAGCTCACAAGCTCCCCGAGGATCTTCTAGTAAGGGTAGAATCAAGCCCCGATCCAACAACATCGGGTAACTTTTCAATAAAAGCGTCCTTCATCTCAATGTTTCTTGGGGATAGGGAGAGCCTCCTTCAGATCATGGACAAAAGCTTCCCTGAGCTAGGAATAACCCGACAAGATTGTAAGGAGATGTCATGGATTGATTCCGCAATGTTTTGGCATCGCATTCCTCAAGGCACCCCACGCGAAATCTTACTCAACTACGACATAAAACATCCAGCATATCGTAAGATCAAGGGGGACTTCATCAAGAAGCCAATCCCTGAAGCAGCGCTACCCAAAGTGTGGGAAAAGATTAGGCAAACGGGCTTCTTGTATATGGAGTGGACTCCTTTTGGAGGAAGGATGGATGAGATCGACGAATCTGCAGTCCCTTTTGCTCATCGAAAGGGCAACTCGTTCATGATCTTCTATGACTTGTTATGGGTTGAGGATGGCATGAATGAGTTTTACTTGAACAAGGCTAAGGAGTTGTACGACTTTATGGGACAGTTTGCGTCTGATTCTCCAAGAGAAGCTGTCCTAAATTATGTGGATTTGGATATTGGATCTTCTTGGGAGAAATACTTCAAAGGTAATTTTCCCAAGTTGGTCATGGTAAAAACTAGGGTTGATCCTACTAATTTTTTCTCCCATGAGCAAAGTATCCCAACACTCTATATGTTGTTGGATAATAGGGACTTTAAAAGAGGTTACAATGGACTTTTACGTTTGCCTATGTAATAATTATTTTGCTCTACCTTATAAATTTACTATTCAAAGTCAAAATCTTAATTTAATAAGAAAAATGATTCAATCATTTGGTACTATATTACTTATATATGTATGTAATATGGCACTTGGTATGAGCTTCAGATTAACTAATACTCGTATGAAACTATGTCATACGTTTAGCCATAATATGTTTTAATTAATAGAATAGTATATTCAAAGATCTAAAAAAAATAGTATAGTATTCACCCTGATTCTATAATGGCTTGATTTCATTCATAGTATCAATGGACAATATTAGGACATGAATAATACCAAGTGTCATATACGTATGTAATATGGCACTTGGTATTAGCTTCGTATATATTAGTTTATACTCGTATGAATTGAAACTATGCTATATATTAACCATATATAATATAATAATATATTCAAAAATAATTATTATATCATTCACACTGATTCTATAATGGCTTGAATTCATTCATAGTATCATTGATTCATTGGGCAATATTAGCACATGAATAGTTAATTTTATATTCCAACATCACTAAAAACAAAATGGGGGGTTGCACATGATAGATCACGAGGCACTAAACATGAGTTGATGAGCATGTCTTGCGGAGATCTAACGTAAGTGCGGCCCATGTTCGACTAACTTAGGAGAATAATCTCGAGAAAAGTTTATACTTTTCAGTTTTCAATGCATGTCTATAGATACGACATGTATATATTTTTTTGTTGATTGATTACTCTTATTTTTGGATCCTAAGTCCATACTCTATAGTCTATGGCCTCTATTTTTATACAAGCATTAAGTTCATTTTAGAGTGTATAATTAGGTTAAATTGTTGGAAATATAAAATATCAAGAGTGGGATATTGAGCTTGTCACTCTTATAGAGAGAGTAATAAAACATCGGACTAACTAGCAAGTAAGGAAATAGCCCAATCAATCAAAGAAGAGCTTGTTCAAATCCCACCTTTGGAATTAGGCTGAATCCTTTTGTCAAGACATCATAGGAATGACAATAATGCCACAAATCTATTTAGTATTCATATGTTTATTTATTATTATTTTTTTTATTTTTTTTAGTTTTTTTTTTTTTCATTGAGGTTACGCCTTCCCGAGCGTCCAAAGAAATATTAAAACGCAATCTTTTATTATTTACTATTTAGTCTTTACATACTTATCTCAATTGAAATGAAAGTTTATATATTAGGGGGTATTTGTTGCGAGTATCATTTTTTGTTTAGGGTTGTTAGTTTTTAAAACCAACATGATTATTGTGCGAGTATTGGGACGAATACGACTCACCTTGATTAGGAAGTTTTGACGCTTATATATATAATAAATAATGCATGACTTAGATAATGAAATGACGTATCCATCCTTATACTTATACCTCAATAATTATTATGTGTATAACTAATTTTTAGTTTATGATTCTACGATTTTTTGACCATATACCCCTCACTTTTTTGTTTATTCACCATATACCCTTGAACTTTTTTAAATTCATCATATATCCCCGAGTTTTCACAAAAATACACCATACACCCCTCACTTTTTTGTTTATTCACCATATACCCTTGAACTTTTTTAAATTCATCATATATCCCCGAGTTTTCACAAAAATACACCATATACCCTTGATGACTTATGATTGCTAACTTCGTCAGTCATTAGGGTTAATTATGACCCAAAACTACCCTAAATACATTCTCTACCCCCGAAACCACCCACATTCCTTTATCCCACCCCCCAAAATACCCCAAATTTCCTTTTCTCATCCTCAAAATCAATCATACGGATATGATTATGGAGATTTGGAGTGGTTTCGGTGGTTGGAGAAAGGAGAGGAGTGGTTTCGGAGATGGGGGGAGAGATCTAAGGTGGTTTCGATGCATTTTAACCAAATTCCACTCATCTTGTTGTCATTAGGGTTAAATGATGAATTTTTGTAACAACTCAGGGGTATATGATAAATTTGAAAAATTTCAGGGGTATATGGTGAATAAACAAAAAACTTAGGGGTATATGGTGAAAAACCGATAATTCTATTACTTATGACTTTCAAAATCATATATGTAACCCAAAAAAACTGAAAGTAGTTGAGAGTGATATTAATTAAACAAGCCTTTAACAAGATACTTTCATTTTAACATCACTATATATTTTGTAAATGGACTAAATGTGAATGCATACATTTAAGTTAAATTAGAATTTTCATTATCTAAGCAAATTACTCTTATATTGAATTGCACTATTGAAACTAATTAAAGTTGCAGGAACTTCATTTCCAAGCTAGCAAATTACGAAGTATATGATTGATTATCATATACTACTTCGTACGTATTTATTTTTCTTTTCACACTAATAAATCACTCTAAAAAAAGCCCTTAAAAACAAATACAGTGCATACAGAGTGAAATGGAGTTGTACTATTCAAAATAATTGACATAATCATGCATACCACAATTCCACAAAACAGCAATTTCATGCTATAATTAAGGCAAAAGCATGGGGTCCCATTGCAATAATTTGCCCCGTTAACTAACGCTGTCACTGTATTACAGATCTCATCCGATTTTACACCTCATAATTCAAAATAAACCCCCAAAATTTATAATATAATCTCATTAATCAGATTATATTTTTAAATCGATCATAGCACAACAAACATACAATTATGTAATTAATCATAGGATCAAATGGCCAATAATTAAAAAAAAAAAAAGTCAAAACTCAAAAGTTGTTAGGATTAGTAGAGAAGAATGTTGATGATGAACGAGTACGTGGAAGAGGAGGAGGGATACCCTTATCAACGGCAGGAGAGGATGAAGGGGGAGGATTTGCTGAAGCGGATGCAGAGTACAAAGCCAACGACCCTTCACTCCATGAGCGTTTGATTGGGTAGGAGACTTTAGGTGGCTTTTGATGGTGACACTTGGCACCTCCTCCTGATAAACCATGAAGAGCGCAGGTACAGTTCTTATGGTAAGGTCGTCGATCGATCTCTAAATGGGAACCGCTTATGGATCCTTCAAATACTCCGCGGAATAGTAGCCCTCCGTCGCTGCCTACTCCGCTTCCCGCCATCGATTTGATATGATCTGAATCTGACCTGACCTGACGTTGAACAAACAAATTAAAGGTTGTTTTTGGATGTACGAGTATTTTTGGTTGAGGTGGTTGGGAAGGAAACAAATAAGGTTTCTTTCCCTCTCCGGGAAAGTTGGGAAACTTGCGGGATCATACTAATCTTTATAGAAAGGTGTTGCTATAACAAAACATACTCTAAGCACATGAACAGGGTAAATGACCACATTACCCACAATCTAAGGCGGAATTAATTTACGAGCCTTTGACTACAATATTAATTGAGTCATTTTTAGTCTGGTTGAGCTAATCTTGAGGAAAATTATTATCGTAACTCGAGCTCAAAGGAGTTTTTTAAAATTCTTGTACGAGTATAACTCGTTATAAATTTAATTGGCTTGTTTCAGTTTGTTCAAAAAAATGTCATTTGCTTTTGAAAACTGAGCTGGAGCTTCAACAAGACAAAATAAAGCTGGATTAAATACTAAAACATTAATAAACTTGATGACATTAAGTTTGTTTTAAAAATTATATTTCTTGTTAAAGTTATACTGAGATATTTTTAAGTTTGAACTATTTCAAAACAAGTTATAAATGGAACAATGACAAACTTATAATTGAACTTAAGAGAAAAATTGTTCACGAATATATTAACAAGGCAAACAATAAATTGTTCGAACTTGCTTGAGTCATTTACTTAATGAGATTTAGATTTTTGTTCAAACTTGTTCGTGTGAATTCTATATAATAAGAAGGTGAAATTGCAATATAAAGTTTATTGTTGGTCATGACTTTAGTAGTGCTAAAGTGATTAAAAAAAGGATGTGCACAATATCTTCTTTATCCTTCTTCCTTGCAATTTCTCTAATGCTCTAGGAGATATTAACTTTGGATTGCTTTTTTAATTTATGAGTTTATTTAATAGTACCTTCATTAACTATAAATAGACAAAGTTGGCTTCTTTAATTTCAAGTGCTAATCGACTAATCGTCTTGAATAGTAAAAAGATAGAGAATCAATATTCCATCTTCATAAATTTATTTAATGTCACATCAAAAATGTGATTAATTACATTAATTAGAAACATTTTGGAGAATTGCTTTTACCTCGCGTGAAAGGAAGCTTCTTATGATATTCTTTTAGTGGAAATAATTGATTAAAGTCTTATAGAAGAATCATGAATTGGGATTTTGTTGAAACAAAAAAAATAAAACTTTTCTAGAAAGATGTGGACTACTAATCTCTTACATAGTTAAAGATTAGAATTTTGTGTTAGTGAAGCTTTTTCCAATTGAAGTAACCAAATTGTTAACGTTAGTAAAGAAAATGTTAAGAAATAATATATTAAAGTAAATTTTAAAGGAGCTACATTTGCTTATAGAATCAGATTTGTGCTTGTTTAATTCTATGCATACTCTAATTGCATTTTTCTTGTGCCTTCTATTTCGTAACCACTGCAGCACCCATAGCGTGCAATTGGGGAAAATGAATACTAATATCGAGATGCAAAAAAGATACAAGTATATGGGAAAAATTAATTAAGAAGAGCTAAGCTGCTTTAGTGCTTTGTAATCAACTAATCATGGTATGGTTAAAGCTACGTAGATTTCGCTGATGTACTTGTATTGTTCTTTTCTATACTTGTTGGCATGTTGCCTTGTTGGGGCAATACCAATAGGGTGAGGTTGAAAACCCGATTGATTTTTAGTGCCAAATTAAAGTCGAGTTAGGTCGGGTTACTTTGATTAGCTATACGAAAAGGGAAAAAAAAAAATACATTATAAGACCATATCAATGACCCTATAATATTTTTTTTATTTTTACAAAATTGAACTAATCAATTAATTTTCATGGGTCAAAGCTTTAATTTTTTGATTTGTTGTATTTTTAATTACTTTCTTCTTTTTTGAGATGCATCATTTGCAAAAACACAAACTTCTAAATAATTTTTGTAGATGAAATTGATAGATAGAAAGGAAAAAAAAAAAAGACCCAT